TTTCTCACTTACCGTGCACTCGCAATTCGCGTTTGAAGTTTTGACTCCACCATCAGTAAAACCATTTGGGGGTTACCATATTCCCTTTGTCGACACCCACTTCTGATCACCCGCAACAATTCGGATTTGAAGTTTCGACTCCACCATCAGTAAGATCTCGTCGGGAGTTACCACATTCCCTTTGTCGATACACAGTTCCGACGTCCCGTTCATTCGTAATTCGCATTTTGGTAGATTTCGCTAAAATCCCGGCATAAAATCGTACTCAACTTTTGGGTACTTCACATAGCTCGACCTTCTATTAGTGACACGAGAAAGAGAGACCGCGATTCGCGCTGTAAGAAACTTTTAGGCGCCCAAAGTCGACTACCCCTCGAAGCGCGCCGCGCACAAGGTGGTTTATTTCGCCCCTAGGAAAAAAAACCAAATTCCGCCACGCAGGAGTTGTGCGCGTTGACAAGATCTTCCTGACGACACCAATTTGAAAACAATCGGAGAAAAACTGTAGAAGAAGATAGATAAAAACTGAAAAATCTCCAGGTTAGTATAATACGCTCGAGGATGGCGTCCAGATGTCGTCGACCCCACATCTTGTAGCCCCATCCCTAACGTTCTTAATTACACGGCCCCGATAGTTACATGTACACTCCTTGTCTTTTTACAAGCGTTTTTCTACGGGCGCGCATTTATTGCCAGCCAGCCAGCCAGCCAGCCAGCCGACCAGCCAGCCAGCCAGCCAGCCAGCCAAAGTGAGATTAAAAGCTACTTTTTACAAAAAAAAATTTTTGCAAAAATGCGCTAAAAACTAGACATCCAATTTTATACACTTCGGTCCAAGACAAACTCGATATGAAGCCGAAATTTATTTTAAAGCATGGCATTATGGTTTTCTTTGGGCCTCGCAGGACATTGTTTTTGTCAAACTCTGGGGCATTTTTCCAGATAGTTCGATGAGATTCTCGAACTAACAATAACGTTACGATCGAGCAGGTTACCTTTAGATCCTTGGCAATTAAATGAAGTGGGGGACTTTTAGGTTAAATACATGAAGGGCACTGAGCACTCATTTGTGAATTGCATTTTCAAAATCTACATGAAAATCTCGTCGTGTGATAACCACATTTCCCTATACCCAGCATCAAAGGTTTTCCAGTTATTCAAGATTTTTCAAAATTGTTCACTGCTTTTCTTTAGCGCGTTGTACCTATAACTCCGTTAACTTGAATTTCAAAAAGTCTTCCAAAATCAACAATACTGACGTGATGCTACATGCGAATGATTTAAATTTTGATCGCGGATTAATGGTGAAGGTTAATAACTTCGAACCTTAAAAAGTCAATTTTTTCAAATGAAATCTGTTCTATATTTTTGCACTCTCAAATGTCGAAAAAAAATCTGCATCGATCAATTATTAGATTTATGGTTTTCGTTTTATTTAAGATTTTCTGTAATTGTGACCTTTATATGCATAATTCTCTTAGGAGTACGGAAACATCCCAGTTATTTTAATTAATACAAAATTAAATAAAGATGATATCAAAATCTTAAATTAAACGAAAATCATAACAGATAGGTATAGAGAATGGACTATTTGATCGATGTAGAGTTTTTTTCCAGATCTGAAAATGCAAAAAAACAAAGCAGGTTTCATTTGAAAAAACAACTTTTTAAGGATTGATGTTATTAAACTTGACCATTCATTGTAAACGACTCTGTAGAAGGGCGATCAAAATTTAAATTTTTAATTTAATGGAAGGGACTGGCTAAGGGACTGAGTTTTTTTTGAGTGTATAATTCTCTAATTCTCAGAATTGTATATTTTATACATATAAGAGACACAAATAGGCATTTTCAGTGCACTTTCACTTTCAAAAAATAAAAAGTGCACGTTTGCGCTCTTAATGTCTGTCTGTCTGAGTCACAAAGGCTCCGGAACTACACCACTTACAGACTTGGTGTTGGTGTCATTTGATCAGAAATTAAAAATTGTTTCATGTTTGTATTCTCGTTAAGGCAGGAAATGTCAATGAGGGGTGAGGGCTATTAAAACCAAAAAACAAATTTGAAAGTGCACTCTTCGTCTTTGCTTACAAGCGGCTAACGAATGTTTACTTATATTAACTGCCTGAGTATGTATATATGTGGCATTTTTGTACATATCGTGTAGAATGTCAATCCTTCAACTTTAGGAACGGAATTCTTAGGAAAAAACCAAAAAAAAGGGCCATTTTTGTAGATAACTTGATGATCTACAATTTTTGTCTGAACTATATATTTGATAAAACTTAAGTACCTTGAATAACTTTTTTAGCACACATGAGGACTTTTGGCACTTTATTCCTACTGGTGTACCCAAGGTCTCTACCTCGGTCTCTACCAAAATTCAGCCCTGTCGGAGTTTTTGTTATTCAATCACTACTTTTATGTCTATTTTGATAGGACCAGAATTGAACACGGAATAGATCCGCTTTTTCCAGATGTATATCCTCGAAAAGGATTGGGCTGTACGAGTAGAAACCAAAGCGACCAGGATTTTCGAGATTAGACCACTACAGCAAACGTGATGAGCAAAAAAAAACCGATTTTTAAAGAAATAGGAAGAGGCTATAGCTTTTGATGAAGATGTAATCGTTCAATCTTAAAAATGCGTCTTTTCCCGCTCAATTCAGTCCGTGAAATAGCAAAAGTGCGCCGTATTTAAAAATAATATAGGCAGGTAGTCCGGTAACCTGTATCGGTTTCTGTTTATCAATATTGCAGCTATTAAGATTATATACCTACGTAATTGCGTACGTATACGTAATTCATTTGTGAATGAATCGTCGATAAATGTGGTTGTATGTACGTGCTCCGTTCGTGTTTATATTCCACGTAGAAAGGGTGAGTTTTGATTACCTTTGTGAATGACTGTATTGCACGCCATTTTTTAACTCAAAAATAAAGAAATCTAAATACCGTAGGATACGTAATCTTTAGTTTTGAGGGGTGGGCGGATGGGCGCACTTTTTTGAATACCTTGCGTCCTTAACCTAAAGCATTGTTTAAATAAAAGCCAATTAAATTGACTTTCTAGCTCGACCAGACTGCTCAGTAAATTTTTGGAAAATTAAACGTGAAATGAACTCAAATGTGTGCTTGTAACAATCTAATTAAAAGACGCGTCATCTGTATGAACGTGTTATAGTATCTTCTATTCTATTATTGCAAGCTGGACAGACTTTTTTGATTTGAATCCCATGATTCACATGGTATCAATTGAAATGGTAACTCCCTTATTTAGAGACGTGTGATATGGCACAATACAATTCTCCAACAAGGTCTGTACCTTTAGTTTTGAGTCTTCGCTGCATTGATACAATTTAATATCGAATAATAAGGATTTTATTTACTCGTGATGTGGCTCTCCACTGATGGGTTTAGTGAACACCTCCATACTATCTCCATGTCGCAGTCAAATCATTCCTTTCCTTATCCCTCGGACTCCACTATCGGGTGCCATTTTGCTTCGGTACTTCCGTTGCAAATAATTTGTTGACAATTTCTTTTGTTTTTTATTAAACGAGAAATTTTAACCCCAAAACTGTGTCATAAAAAAAATTGTTAAAAGTGCCTCTTATAGTTCGCCCTACCATACCTCTTTTACTCCAGTACTGTCCAGCAAAGTGACAAACCACTGTATATTGAAAATTAGAAAGCATTACGAGTTTCTCTCTTTTTACATTAATTTTCATTTAAACTGGATCATTTCTTACTTCTAATTGACTTAATGATTTATTGAAATTGAAATGCAGTTAATTTACATGAATACCTTTATCTTCAAACACACTTTGATTTTGATTTTTTCGTTGACAAATTGGGTGATAGATAACCCCTGAACTCGTTTTCCTTTACAGTGAAATTTATGGAACCCCTGTGATTCCGAAAGAGAACTCCTTTAAGATCTCTCATAAAAAATTTTACTCGTAGTGATATAATAGGTCAATATTTACCTTTTACAAAAAGTTTTCGAAAAAATTTGACAAAAATACAGAATTTGAAATTTTGTTGTTTAGCTGGCTCGAACTGGGGGTTCCAATTATTAAATAAACGTATTATAGCTTCCCCATGAAATTTAATAATCAATTAATCTTATAAAAAACGGCTAGTTTCGACGTTTCAGTCATCTTCCGGGGAAAAATAAAAGGATCGGTTGTAGTTTACAATAGGTGGTTAAACATTTAGGTAATAGAGTAATTTAAAGTTGGCAATACTTGTATGGATAGAAAATATATACGGAGGTATAAAGGTCGGAACGGAGTTTTACGTTTTTAACATCGTGCTTAAAACCAAATTAAGGGCAGGTTGGTTAATGTAGAAACATGACTGCACACGAGGGTCCCATAGGGGATTGTTATAAACGGAATAAAATTGAATTACATTTCAAAACTTAGGTAAAACGGCGGAAGTTACTGAAAGCCCATGATGAAAAGCAAAGTTAAGTTGATTGAATAGATTACATTGTTTTAATTATCTAATTGAAGAACCTTAGCACCTGGAAGATGACTGAAACATCGAAACTAGTCGTGTTTTTGTAAGATTATACGTATAAAACGAATTATTAAATTTCATAGGGAAGGTATAATCCGTTTATTTAATAAAAACACAGAAATGCGACTAAGCTTTATTTACCAAGTTTTCTCTACATGGAATCCTTCCGCCAGACTTTTTCAATTCATAAATCTGGGGTAGATCTCGGGGTAGATATCAGATGTTTTTGAAGGTCTGCATGCTTAAAAATCTGTCGAGTGATTACTCTTGGGATTGGATTTTTCGACAATGGATTGGGAAATACAGACTTGCTCCTGATGACAATCCTTTTGCTGGTCGGTACAATTTTGTTCGGAAAGTGCGTTTGCATAAACACTGGATAGACCGTGGATGGGAGCAAAATCTAGTACGGTGGCGAACCAATAAGAATCTTATGATACACAAAGAACAAAGCGAAAAGGGCAAAATTAATCTAGGCTTAATTTACTTTATTTATTCATATTAGCTATCATATCTTGTCGACCGGTTGTGGTTTATCATTGCACTTATCAGTTGTGCACCAGGTGCAATGCTCGAACAGTTTGGTATCTTCCAAATATTTACATGGGTCAGTCTGATCCGAAAACGTACCGCATCCACGAAAAACAATTTTAGGAAAATTCGCTACAACATAAATTCCAACATGTGAAACTACCTAGAACTTTACCTGGGTAAGTCGCGGTAACGCAAACCGCGCGTGGTTTTCCGATGTAACCATCTCCATGAAAATTAACGGACCGTGTCTCATTGCAATTTATAACACCCATTCTTGAAGATTCTCCATCCCCACAGTAGCTGAGAGTGCTACCAGTGCATACATTACATTGCAAGCTGTTAGCTGAATTAAAGACACCTATGGCGACTAGAACAAGTAAGGCTCTCATATTGTGTCTGAAACAAGTCTAATCATTTAATGAGCTGTTTTATTCGTACAAAACAAGATTAAGTTATCAATGTGTGATTGACCTAAGCATTGTACAATATCAAATGTACGGTTTAGGCATTTTAAAAATAAATCAAATTATTTTGTTTCCTCCTTGGACTAGTTCATTGTTATTGCACTTATCTTCAGTGCACCAATGACACTTTTCGAAAATCGCAGTTTTCTGTAAATATTCGCATGGATCCACGTTGTCTGGGAAAACCGCACATCCGCGGATAACTATCTGTGGATCAGATTCTATCAACCGAATTGGCATAACTGTGGAATGAGGTGTGACTCACGTGGTTCAATCGCGCTTATACAAACGGGTCGGAATACGCCAACATCGTTATTTTCCAGAAACGTAGAATTTCTGTCATTTGCATTGCATTTTACAACATCCATGGTGAAAGTTAAGGCGTTAGCGCAGTCACTTCTGACTATATTTAGACATGCATAACACTTTAAACAGTAGCCTAGAAGTAGGTAATCATTGTCCTTTGCGTAAATTTGGTCGACTTACTATACGGAACGAGTCCCAGAATAAGCAAAAATATGGCATTCATTGTCGCACGAAACAGCATACTATGAACTTATAGGGATATAAATTGAACTTTGTCTTGACAAACAACATTAATCTGCAGATTTCCTGTTATCGAACTTTTTATACTTTGAAAGTTAGGTAATATTTTATACTTTTTGGGGGTTTTGTAGCTCTGTAGCTCTTATATACCAATGGGCATGTTTTTTCCATACGTCCCAATCGCCCTTTGTAAGTACCTATACTCCTCCGACAATCCGCTCGTGAGATACAAGGAATATCCGACCCGCCGCCGACTTGATAGCCTTAATTTATCGGCAGGAATAATATACTTGAATATTATATGCGTTTTAATAACAGTTTTGTGGTCGTAATTTCCTTGTACACATGAAATTAGATTAATTTTCTTTTTACCCTGTGGCACTGCATCGGCACGCGGTGAAGTTTTTTTATGGAATTTGCAGAATAGTATTGAATTAGAAAACTACTAGCTACAAAATTGGACACTAATGGTCGCTTTGAAACTAATTACTCCTTCTTTTAAGTTCGGTGATTCCGAACGCTATATAGAACTATTTAGGCTCAAAGGCCGTTAATACTGACCAAACGCCTCTCGCCTTGACTCTTCGGATGCCAAAAGCCCAAAACGAGACTCAATTTCGTGCAAAATAATTCCCTCTCTCAGTACTAAGTAATTTTTTAAACAACAATCTCTAACAGTATACTTAGAGTGCGGGGGTTGTAAATTTCGTAATACATTGAACATTTTTATTTCGTTGATAGATTATGTTTAAATAATGTATAAACAACCCTCAAACTGCCCTTCAATAATAAATTTCCGTATGCTTTAAGCTTGCCAAATATTTTAAGTAATTCACACTATAACTTATACAATACCTAGAATGCGGGGGTTGGAACTTTCGTAATACAGTGAACATTTTTATTTCGTTGATAGATTATGTTTAAATAACGTATAAACAACCCTTAAACTGCCCTTTAACAATAAATTTCCGTATACTTTAGGCTTGCTCAATTTTTCAAGTTATTAAAACAATTTCTTACAGCATAGAGTTCGGGGCTTGTAAATTTCGTAATACAGTGAACATTTTTATTTCGTTGATAGATTATGTTTAAATAACGTATAAACAATCCTTAAACTGCCCTTTAACAATAAATTTCCGTATGCTTTGGGCTTGCTCAATTTTTCAAGTTATTAAAACAATCTCTTACAGCATACTTAAGAGTGCGGGGGTTGTAAATTTTGTAATACAGTGAACATTTTTATTTCGTTTAAATAATGTATAAACAACCCTTAAACTGCCCTTCAATAATAAATTTCCGTATGCTTTAGGTTTGCTCAATTTTTCAAGTTATTAAAACAATCTCGCGGTACGACAAAAAGTAAGTAAGTCACAAGAAACATAAAATTTTCCAGATTTTTTAAATTTTCACAATACTATAATAGATGTGTTATTCCTGTGTGGAAACGGGAAAAGAATATTTCCACTGCAGAAGTCAACTGCATGCGGTAGAAGTCCGCTAATCAAAAGCTTTATGCACTCTTTGTGCATAATTTTGTGAACTTGCCGATTGTTTTTAAATTTCTGGATTTTTTGCTTTTATTAATTGTTATTGGGGTTTTTTTGAAAACGATTTCTGTTGACACATAGAAGTACGCAGGGCAGGCTGTCTGTATTTTTGTGGTGTACGGATTATTTTTTAAAAGCTTAGGCGGATGGTTAGCGATGGTTAACGATCCTTCGCGTTAGAGCGATGCGGTTCCTTTGGACGAAGAATGCTTCACGTTCGTGCTGCTTATTTATCCCTCCTTTTTAGTCCGGTATTTCTCGTATTGAGACGAGTGGTGTCTCTCTAGTAGGGTTGATTTTTTTCAAAATTCTTGTAGGAAAGAACAAATTTTGCCAGGGGGTCACATGTTTATAAATTTGGTAATAGAATCTTACCATTTTAAATTGTAGGGTAGTAAGTCAAATGAAATATAGTAATTCGCACTTTCGACGCGGGATTAAATAAAACAAAAAAATGAACAATTATTTGGCTTATCTAACGAACATATTTCCAACCGGATCCAATCCTTCTTTCCACTGTGCTCTGCTAATATACGAGTCGATCTATCCAACTCTACGAGTAAAAAATAAGAGCAGAGAATGTAGCGGTAGTGGGAAATGGTATAGTCGCCATCATAATTACCTCATTTGGGCTGGTCAGTTATGTTGACTTGATGATAAAACAATAGAAACGAAGTCAGTTTTATTTCATTACCCTACTGCCAATGGTGACGCGTCTCCCTCCTACTCTTATAACCTCCTTTTTATCAATTTCGGTGACGTGCCCTTTTAATGCAAGGTTCTCCCCTCTTATTTTTACTCGTAAGAAAAAATAGTTCCTGGGCATGTTTATTAATTCATCAAGTAAACGATACCAGAACAAAAGTACTCAAATCCATTTCTTGTGTTTCTTGTTGTTGCATTTGTCTGTGTTGCACGAAGTACAGTTTTCAAAATGCTTGGTGTTTTCAAGAAATTCGCATGGGCTGGTTTGATTGGGAAAAATACCACAACCACGATCAACGAGTTTAGGATTGAAGTCTTAAAGAAATGTGAGTTTATTGTGCAACAACAATACCGTCGTTTACCTGTCGCAGTAACGGTGATACAGACTGCTTTTAATTGCTCTACATCGCTTCGTATAAAATTAAAATTGTCGAAGGGAACAATGCAATTGGTTATACTCATCGCGAATGTATCTGCTTCAGCGCAATCACTCGCTTCGGTTCCAACACAAACGTAACATAGCAAGCCACTACCTAAAAATGGTGGTAAGTCATTTATATCGATTTACAAAATCATACCTGAAGAAACAAGACCTAGCGTAAGCAGGATGCATTGAAATGCTTTCATCTTTGAATAGGTTCAATCTCTCTTTGCACTTGACTTTATTTATATACGAGTTATCTATATGTAACCTTTATAGGATAAAACAAAACAATCGCCTAAACCCTTCTGCAGGTCCCAAAAAAGGGGATAAATCATACTGCAATATTTCCACCTGCACTGTCTCTGTAGATTGATACGAGATACGTGGGGAAAACAACACATAAATCACTTAGACTTATCTTTAATGACACAAACAATCAGACTGCCATATATTTTTTTCTGTTGTTACACTTATCAGTTGAGCACCAAGTGCAATTTTCAAAACCCATGGTATTTTCCAGATATTCGCAAGGTTCGACCTGATCCGAAAATATGCCGCATCCCCGATTGACGAGTTTGGGTTCAAATTCTACAACAGTAAAATTAAAATCCGTGGAGTTCACCACAAGGTGTACCTATACCTGGCGCAATCGCGGTTACACACACCGCTCGCAATCCACGCACATTTTCCACGAGATGACTACTTTCAAGTAGGCCAAAATTGACGTACGGTACCCTCGGCGAATGGCAATTGACGAGGCCCATCGCAAACGATTTTCCTTGACCACAGTCGCTTCTTTCGGTACCCGCACATACGTAGCACTGCAAGCTTTCGCCTGGAAGCGTTGGCTATGGTTAATTTTGGTTGAGTTTTTGAAAAACCTACCCATAGAAGCCGCTCCCAACACAAATAGTGTGGTCAATAGGGTTTTCATTGTCATCTTCGATTGCAGCTCGGTCAAGTTTATAATGTTATTAGGGGACTTTGTAACATACAACAAAATTATCTTGTTTATTACCGACATCGCTATCTCTTCGAATCTATTTTCTTGTCTTAACTAAGGTCACTGCAAAAATAAGTAGGTGTATGAAAGAGCTTTACTAATAGATATTAAATTTAGGATTTTATTAAATTTAGGTTTAGTCGTTGCCATGCGATCTAAAGGCAGTTGCTGTTACAAATTAATGAAATTGTATTGCATTGGGGTGAAAAATGATCCCCCACTTTCTTTTACGGAAATGCACGTTTTGAAGCACCAGGAATCCGAATCGAACAAAACCTCAATGATGTCGATCTGCCTGTCGGTCTGTCTGTACTCTCATTTCCGACTAAGTATAGCTAAACCAAGTAGAACCAAATTTGGTACACTAATTCTTAGATATAAAAGAGCAGAACCGCGCATGCAGGTATCTGTGCTAGCCACAGCAAATTTTTTAAAATTTAGTATTAATCTTTGACAATACTTAAATTATTAAGAGCCGCCTTTAAACTGAAAAGGTTTCTTATGAAATGGTGCTTTCTATTGGTTTGCCCTGTCCCAAACGTTACACCAGAAAGGAGATTTTTTATTTCTCTTTTCTGGGTCGTAAATGAGTTCGTAGATCAACAAAATTGGATTGTATCAAAAGTATTTCGGAATTCTATTTATGCACCATCTGTGGTAATTAGGGAAGAAAAACACCCATCCCTCTGGGTCTTAGGTTTACCACTAGCTTTTAGGTACTTTATCCTACGAAATTCACATACCATTTTAATTCAAAATATATTAGTCGGGTACCTTGAAGCCGTCTCTAGATGGTGAGGTTTTTGTGAAAAAATAACAATTCTTAAAATGTGTAATTCCATATAGCTTTTCCAATTACAAACTGTCGCTCTGCACTGATTTTACTACTACAATGCCTGTTTGATAAACTGTCTTTCCCATTTACACCTTATTCGTTCTCGCCATCTTGTTAAGTTACCTTCCAGCTTGCCTCTTTTCACATGTTTACTTCACGCCTCTTTCAACTTTGCTTTCTTATATCTTCTTTGTGCTTTTTTCTCGTCTTCTTCACCATTTCACGTTTCCTATACATAACATTTTTACGGTGCTTGTCTACACACCTCTTTTCTTTACGTCTCTTTGTATTTTCTTTATGTTTCGTTCATTTCATTTGTAACTCCCCCTTTTACACTACCTTCATGCTCCACTCGCTCATTGGCCTTCTTTCGAGCCAGGGCCGTATCTAGATATGACCATGCCCTTGGGTTGGGATTGGGAATTTTATTTTTTTACCGTGCACGTTAGTAAGGGAGGTATCGCATTTGGGTAAAAAATGACTCCCCACTTTTTTTACGGAAATAACCATTTTGAAGCACCGAATCAAAAAAAATCTTGATGATAGTCTCTCTGTCGGTCTCTCTATCTGTACCCTCATTTCCAGTAAAACGGCTGAATAAGCGATTGGAAACAAGTTTGGTATAGATAGACGCAAAAAGAAGAGCTCAAAAGCTTGTAGAGTAGGTGTACGGGTGGTATTGTAAGAGACATTATTTATATAAAATTTTTATTTTAAACAGTATTTCACTGAAGGAAGTGGAATGTAACTATGCATCCCTACTTGCAGACGATTAAACGTAGAATAAATTAATCGTGCGAGAATACCTATGGGACAAATTTGTCCGATGGTATCTTCACACGTTGTGCGTGGGTGCACCATTCTGTTGAAACCCCACCCACCCTTTACGCTTCCTTTTCTTTTTTTTTGAGTTTCTTCCATTAACACCTTGTTTTTCGCATTTTTTTCTATCAACACTTCTTTCTTCATATATCTGCTCGTCACGGGTCTTTAACATCTTTGAATCACACACATGCGGTTATCAAATGTGCACGTGATGTACTCTTTCAGCATCAAGATAATGCGTTTGAAGCTTTTACAACTCCAAATTTATGTGTAAAGAATAACTTTGGGTACATTTTGCTCTAAAACTTTTGACCTATACCACAGAGAAGAGTTATATTGAATTATATTACACATCTAAGAGTCATAGGAAATAATCTAGTGAAAGTCCGAACTCGATACATGACCTAGGGAATGATTTCTCTTATATTGACCGCGCAGTTTTCCTTCTTCCCTATTCACTCAAAGTCCTATAACTTTTGTTCCTGTTGAACCAGCTTCCTGAAAATCAATAGCGTCCGTCCTTAATGTCCAAAGTACCCGTACACTAAATTTCAACACAATCGGCCACTTTTAAAAAGAGTTAGAGCGCACACGGACGGACGGACGGACGGACGACAATACAAAACTATAAAGGATCTGAGGATCCTTAATAATCTATTCGAAGAGTCACAAAAATCTGAAAAATTGAAGCATCTTAGTGAGTTGAAACGAAGAATTTTAAGAATCTACGAAGGCATGGATAATAATAATCGGAAGAATTTGAAAAATTTGAAAAACGCAAGATTTCGAAAATTTTAAAAATCCCAAGAATAATATGACTTTACAGAGCTGAAAATTTTAAAGAATCTAAATCGGGAAGGGTTTACGGTGCATCAGAAGAATCTCAGGATTCAGCTGGAACAAAAGAACCTGGGTAAAAATGGGAAAACTGAAGAATCGGAGGATCACTAACACTCGAGGAAACGAAAAAATCGGATGATTTGAAAAATTGGCAAATTTGAAGGGTCTGGAGGTGGAGAATAGCAACAATGAAAGGTGTTGCTGAATATAAGAACCGAACAAGAATCCGAATAATCGAAGAGAAGATAAGAAATATGAGTTTGAATAATTGAAAAATTGAAAAGTAAAACCTGAAAATGAAGGAAATCGAAACGCAAACCATTTGAGTAAGCATGTTCCAGTTTTTCACACAACTTTTTCAGTGTAAAAAAAATTGTGTCCTTAAATGCATATAGGTACTATCAACCGACTTGCAACTGAAATTACGCATCATAAAAGATTTTTTACTGTCGGTCGGCTTGGTTCATTGAAAAGGAAATTCCCCTTTGATTTTGTTCCACAACTACATAAATGTGGACATTTACCTTTTGAATGCGGCATTCATTAGATAATTGTTAATTACATTATTTGATTGCGTACAGCAACATTTGAAACCAGATAAAAATTAATTGTCTATTTATGTATATTCGAGATATTTGATATTCACAATAATTCTAAAATTAGCTCCGATTGTCACAACAAAAACAAATATACAAACATAGAGCAATCTAATTATCCGCCCATTGTTTGATTCAATACTCCCAATCAGTAGAGTTACAGGGAGATACGGACTGGAAAGGACGAGCTGTGAATAAATGCAGCTTTTTCTTGTTTGCGCGTCAATTCTTTCCAAGGCGATCAAATGACATTCAATTAACTTTCCTTGTGAATAGGTACGTTTTTTTAGTAAACATTTCTTGCGATGATATTTGCAGTTGCCGAACTGGAAAATTTATTAAACCTTGAATTTTGATGAAAATCCATTAAGTGTAATCATAGAATTAATGGCCTATAATAACGACTATAACGTTAAATTCGCATGTGAGGGTGAGTAGTGTCAGTACGTATTCGACATGAAGATCGTAGTGACTTTGTGGGTTTTTATTGTTGCAATTACTGGTGGTAAGTTGGTCTTTTCATCTAAAGATTTTGGGTACATGAAACAAAGGATTTTTATGTATCCGTTCTATTCACTCAAGTAATAAGCCCTTCGCTTTGCACTCTTCACTCTACTAATGGCTCTAGAATTTTCAAATACACATGGCGGGCCAAATTTATTTTCACCTTTAATATCATTTTTGGTTTTGGTCTTAACTTAAGGGAGATCTAAGTCAGGATCATTTTTACAAAGGCTTCCTTTTAAGCACATTGTAAAATTTATATGTAATATCAAAAATTCATGAAAAACCATTAGCAATTGTACCTACTCCCAATTGTATTAACAAATTTTAAAATTTTAGACGAAAATGGTAGAGCGTATATATTTTATTAAATTTATTAACAAAACTGTTAGCGAAACCAGGTAATTCGAGTCCACTAAAGTAGGAGCAACTAGTGAAAAGTTTACTGAAGGGATTTCCTAAACATTAAATCCAGTTTTTAATAACAAACCGTCTAAATCGTGTTTATGCCAACGGTCATTTTCACCAACAAACAGACTGACGACCAAAATTAACATTCGGGGCCAGGTCCAAATTACAAAATATACAAATTTAAATCTCTGATAGATCTCTAATCATCTTTATCCAGCATATTAAAAATATTAGAGGCTTTTCGGAAAACAGAAATTTTAAAGTTTTCATGACATTTTTAACGATATTTTGGTTCACAGTACCTAATTGTCAAAAATCGTAGAATCACAAGGAAAACTATGAGTTATGCTTTGCTGAAATTTCATGATACAAGTACTCTAAAAGTTTGAACGACCAGCCTCGGTTTTATTTATTGAAAAAAGGTTGCTTATGCGCCTCATAAACCAAAGACTTAAAATGAATGAAATGGTATTTTCAAGGTATGGAGAAAAATGTTGGCAAATTAGAATATGTAAATCAAACGTGGGGCTTTATAATCAGAAACTATTAATACCGAAGTGACAAATTATAGTAAGTATATTAATAAAAAATTGAAAAATATTAGTGGTTTAAGGATGCATCTCCTTTTGTTATATGAATTTTCTATTTACTAAGCTTTTACCTGTCACAAATTCGGGATGGTTAAAATTTACTTTGAGATTTACAGTAATACCTTTACACTTCAAACACACATTAATGATTTTTATTTTACTTTGACAAATTAGGCTATAGACAACCCCTGAAATTGATTTCCTTCACAGTGAAATTTAATTAAATCCCTTTGATTCCGAAAGAGAAAGTGTGATTACTGATTAGAATGGGCAGCAAATTCAGAAGGTTCTTTTGATTACAATACACATTACAAAGACAATATTTTACATTGTTCTTCACTACTTTAGGACCTTTCATGTAAACTTTCAATTGTCATGGTACGCAGGTCAAAATTTAATCTTTTTACAACGATTGATCAAAGAATTCAGTAATATGACTAACATCTTTCTTCGACGTTGAAGACCCGGAATGTTTACTGCTGAGTTTATTGAATCATCAATATGGGGTAGTTATCAGAGGCCTATAACACAAGCCGTACAAGTTCTACAATTGTTAGAATATATTTTACACTTGTAGCTATTATTTGCGTATACCGAATTTATTAGGTCTTGTATAGTTATAGTTACAGGCAGTTTACTTGTAACTTGTGGACTTGTTACAATTGTATAGTTTGTGTTATAAGCCCCAGGTGTTTCCAATTTGAATGCATGCTTATAAAACCGGTCGACTTAAATAACTTCTACGCAATGGCCCTTTGGACGGGATGTTTTGACAATTGATTTGGAAATACAGGCTGTCTCCGTATGCTAATTCTTCTCTTGTTGCCAAAAGTTCAGTGTCATACACGCGCGCTTTAATTGGATTGTTGTTAAAACTTGATTTGCGTTTACACTAACTGCCTTTTAACTATTATTAATTAACGTTCAAACTCGAATCTTTAACCTCTAACTAGCCCCACTGTCGCTAATAAAATCTCTTATGGTTCTAGCTCGACTGTCTAAACACCAATGCAGTATTCTGTGCAAAATACTCTCCTTTCTCAACTCTAAGTGAACTTTTTGTACTCAAATTGCTCTCGTTAGAAGCTCCTGCATTTCCAAAAATATGTGCCCATATCGCACCTCACCCTTTTTAATATTGTTTCCTTTATTTTGAAGAAAAGATATGGACTGATGACACTGTGTTATCGCGACTTTTATATACTTATACTTGTCAATTTTCAGGTTCCGCTTTGAAATGTTATCTATGCGCAGGCTCGCTGAAAAGTGATTGCAAAGTAGGCAAACAAATATCAATGGTAGAGCAAGAATGTCTCAACTTTCCGAATTTCCATGATTTCTGCATTCAGGGCACTAGCACTAGTAAGTATACAGACATTTGATAGTTTAGCATCGTGAAATTTACTTTCAGAAACGGTCCGTCCGGAGGTATTTATGCGAGGATGCGCAATTATTCCCAAGAATGAGACGGATCCGTGCAAATATCTAGCGAATTTTGTACCTATTTTGGGTTGTCAATTTTGCACTACCGATTTTTGCAATAAGTGAAGGAAGTAATTATTTGTTCCACGTTCCTAATAAAAATTGAACATTAACTCTCTCTATTATTTAGCGAAGTGGAGTGAAACTGTTTAATTTACAGGATGTAAAAAGAGGATGGAACTGGAAACAGTAAATTGCTTCAACCTGGAAGGGAGAAATTTCGTATCATCTCGAAATGATTCTGGCTGTACCTGATGATGGTTATGAGGGGCTCTTTTTATTCCGTAACCGTCAAGTAGCAAAGGTACGAATTCTGTTCTTCAAATTAACTCGCTTACTGGGTGTTCTTGGGTGAGGAATTACCAACTTCATATAGGTTTGAGTTTCGCCAGCTTTTTCAGGGGCTGGGTGAAACCTACTGGGGCGTTTTTGGACGTGTTTAAAAAAAAGAGTGTAAACAAAAGCGAATGGCAAAATGTTTATTTTTATAATAATTTTAATCAAGCAAAGGTCACTGTTAATAAGTTATCTTGTTCTTGTATGAAACACGGAGATGATTTCCTCCTCGTTACGTAAATTGCACTTATCCTCGCTGCAGGATGTACAACTTTTGAGGCGCAGCTTCCTCTTCAAAAAGTTGCACGGATCAACCCCTTGGCGGAATATTCCACAATTCCTCACCACCAAATTCGGATCATAATCTAAAAACACAGATCTCTAGCGCGAGGATATTACCGAGCTTACCGACTTGTCAACGTAAATTTCAAACAGACGGACTGCAAACGTCCACCATCCTCGTCCAGGTCATTCTCCAACACGTAAAACGGTATTCTGGGCGTGTGACAGTCTCGCAACCCCATCGAGCTTTCCACCCCCTTCGCGCAGTCACTTGTTGGCGAGCCGGAGCAAACGTAACAATTCAAGCCATTAGCTTTAAAACGCAATGAAAGCCAGCAATTCAGACATTAGCTTTCTTACCTGCACTTGCAAACGTGAGAAGCACCGTCAGAGGAATGAAATATTTTGCGCTCATGTTTGACACTTTTCTTTTAATTAAACCAATAAGTGTCTGATTGTGTTTATATATTTGGGGCGTGTTGTTGACTAATTAAATACTCAGATATTTCTTATCGCCGATTTAAAATAAAGTGTTTATACCAAGGGCATAATTTAATTATGTTCATGACCTGCATATATTTTAAAAGATAATTTAATCCTTAGTTTACTGCAGTTCATCTCGGAAGTGTTTGTGCCAAATACTGATAAATTTGCTTGAAAATACACTATATTGTCTATCCTTTACTAGTAGTCTACAATTTTTTAGTGTTCATTGTCGCGGGGGCTTTTTTATTTTCTTTTGGCACTTACGTTTGTAAGCCAAAATTCTAATCAAAACTGTATTGAACACAAAATACTGGAATTGGAATCGGCTGCACCGGCACCTAGCTCAGTCTAATTGAATATATATACGTTGTCCAATTAAAAGTACTGAAAAACGTTTCACTTTTGGTATACTGAAATAAAATAAATAAAAACACGGACATTAAATGGACACTTAAAAATGTATTTCTTGGATCACAATAAGTTTTCACGAATACACAATTGTACCTAACAAACCCTCCCTTGTACGCCCATGTTTAATTAATTCTAATATGCAAATTCTTTGTTAATTAATGATAATATCAGAATTTACTTTTACAAACCAAATAAATGTCGCGGACCTTCGGAGTTCGATTCCTTTCAATGAAATTCTTTTAAATGTAATTTTCTTTTTAAACTTGAGCAGAACTGGTTCCGAGCTCCTAGGTTTCTTTTGTCAAATATAGAAAATACATACAATTTTTTACACAAGTTTCCGACGCCCTTATGATCTCATTTTGCATTTGAATTTTTTTTTTTTCGATATTCTAATTTGATTGTTTATTACAAAGACGATAAAGCTGTCGTTAGAATTTTTATAACAAATTATTTACATAACTAACCTGGTTACAAAACCCTTTTTGCGTAGCTGTGGAAGAGTACAAATTCACTGGTTTGATTCTCACAATGGTGTAGCAAGGGGATGATTTCTAGAAATGCATTCTCGATCCAATGGGGGGGATTTGCTTGCTTGATTGAGGGGTGGATGAATTCGGCAGTTGTTTACAAGTACCAAATTTAACAATTCACAAAGAAACTAACGTTTACATTTACTAGTTTGGAAAGGTCGTTATCCAGTTTGATATTACGTACAGTATTTAAATATGTGATTTAATGGCACAAAAGAATGAATGTGTATTTGGTTTGTTCATAAGCAACTCAGTTTGTTATATTCGAATTTGCCTTACACGAAAAACAGGCTGTAAGTTTATAATATTACTCTCGCCAGGAAAGATTGCTGGTTACAACACAATTTGTGTCGATCTACAATCTATGTTTTTCTCAAAATGCGAGCGAAAGTCCTTTCGTTTAACATTGACACGATACTATCCTTTCGAGTATGTATGTTACAGACACCTGAATAATTCGGATATTCTGTACAATTCCTAGGAAATGTATGACATTCCGAGTTCGTTTAGGAAATATTGATAATGGTTAGTCATTACATTTTATTTTAAAACTTAGGGAAGGAAAACTTCTTCGGCCACCAAGCTGTATAGCAGTTTTCCTTCACTTAATTGTACACATTTCCTAGGAATTGTATACAATACCTGAATTATACAGATTTCCGGTAACATGTACATTGTTATATAAATTTACTCAACCAAAGAAATGGGTCAGTCGTATACCGTATATAGTATCGGAACGGAAACGTTGCCTAATGAAATGAAAATGTAATTATTGGTACACAAAGCAACCATTTAAACATTAACAAGGGTTCAATCCTGGAAATGTTACGCAAAAAAAAACTGATGCATTAAATACATTTAATCGGCGTTTATTGAAATTTTAAACTAATCTCCTCCGTCACGTTAATTAAATGGATTTCATATTTTCAAGGGAACAATGGATTTTTAAATCTATATTAATGAAGGGTGGGATTATAAAATGCACGCATTATATTGATATAGGTACTTGTTTGTGACCGTATACATCAATCGTTCATTGCGCATAAAAGTCATTGGAATAAAACAAATTTTATTATACACCAAAAGTTTGCTAATAACAATCCGATTTTATATACAGCAATTCATAATAATCGAGCTTGAAAATAATCATTACGTACACGGATAGAAGTTTTGCAATTATTGGAAAACTGACGGAGCTTTGAAAACGAAACCGTACAGATACAATTTTTACTACGTAACTGACTTCGTCACTCACGATTGTTAATTCCCAGTTCCAATTAAAATCAAAACTGCTAACTTATTTGGTCCTTTACACAACCTACCGTAAGCCATAATTGGCTATTATCGAGATGTACGTAATTAACGCTAATGACGATAGCTACCCAAGCCTTCCTACCTTCAACTGCTAGCATTGAGTAACAAACGTGCATATCAAAGTTTAGCTTTGAACATATAATAGTGTTGCGACGAACTTCGGTAGTTCGCACAATATCGGTGGCTTAAAATGAAACGGTATGATTAGTAATAAATTTGATCTCAAAATGTACTCGTGTACAGCGAAAAATGCCAAAAGATTCCCTTAAATCCTGTTGTTACCTTCCCAAAAAATGTGGAAACACTTGAATTTTCCATTCGGTCGATTTATTCGGTTGTTTACCTCCAAAAATTAAAACCTCTTTATTTAATTACCCGCGACCGACGTCCTAAAAATTTGGGACATATTTTAAAATCATGCATTAATAAATTTCGCTTTTAATTCCACAAGATCCATTCAGGCGAGGTTTGTTGCAACTCAATTAATTAACTGAACTCATTGGCACGACCGGACTCAAATTTTGAAATGCGGGAACCCAGTAATTTCCACCTGGAATTTCGGGTCAATCGCAACAGGTCTGCGATAATGAAATAAATTGTTCGACCATTCATTTTAAACTGATACATCGAAACTGAAACTTTACAATATTAATTCTATACCCTCTTCCCGGCCAGGAGAGCTTTTGATCTCTACAAAAATAATAACATTATCTACAAGAACAATTAGAAACTTGATAATTATGTTCGGCAGCTGGCTTTCTTATCCGCGGTTACACGGCCCTACAAATTAAAAAAGGTTCTACCTTCTGTTTCCAACTTCTAAAAGAAGTAAATAGTTCCGGAACAACACTTTTCGTAACGAAGCACCACTACATACCGGGTGTTCATTAGAGATGGTAGACTCCCAAATGCCGATATGAAAACTGAGTGCTTCGTTACGTCCTACTTTTCCCACGCACCGTAACGGTTTTATAAAGATTGTGTTGAAAGTTTCTTACAAGAAAAGTGAAGGATTGCGATGTAAATAATACAAGTAGGCTAGGAAGTAGGGCGACTTAATGTTACAGGTATTGATTTGCAAAGTAGGCTACTAAGCAAATCTGCAGATATTCAATGCTTTTACCTCGGTAGGGATGTACCCTACACATCAAGATTTAAACAATTTTTCCGGGAAACTTGTTTACCTACTTTTACCTTTGAAAAAGTGCACACGACCACACGTGCCTAACTTTTTAATTTAAATTTATAATTGGTCAACATATATTGCATTGAAATGGTTTCTCTATTTGCAGTGCAAACATTGTCATTGTATATTGTACTAACTTGGTGCTTGGAACGGTAAAGTAAAAGTGACTGTAAATAGCGCCCCTTTTACGTTGTTGTTTAAGTAGTAAAACAGACTTTAAAGTAAAAAATTTACAGGGATTTCGTATAGCTAATCCTTCAAAATGGAGTTTCACGAAAGAAAAATAAAGCAGTGTAAAGTTGAGAGCCACGTCAACCTATCAGCCACGAAACAAATCGACTAACTAAACTACTTTTTCTATTTTCAAACTAAAATATTGGCAAGGAATCGTGCATCAAAATTACCATTATTAGCGACAGATTAAAGGGCGCAGTTATGACGGAACTAACAAACATTTAAGTAACTAAAGAACAAACTTGGAAGTTTAGAAAGTAAAACAAAATTGAATATTTTGAGATGCTGTTAATAAAGAATCTTAAGCGGAGAGCATTTCAAGAGAAGATTAAAATAAGCTACTTATCGAGAAAAATGTAAAAATCTTTCCGAACTGGATATTAAAGGACACTAAAAATGAATTTCACAAGAATTTAGTCAATTAAGGGGAAACTTAAGGACTTATAAACGGTGTTTATTCGCGTTTTAACTGAAGAGCGTTTTTAATTAGAATTTTCTGCATAAAATTAGGCTCCACCTACCTGTAACTTTTGTTTGTTAACCAAAATGTACCTACGTAACAACTGCTGGCATCAGTAACTAGTAGGGACTAAGGTAATAGCAAAATAGAGTCTTGCCATATTTTTTTATAATCCAATATACTACGCTAAATGTTTGGCTTAACAGCTTCGAGTCTAGTTTGGAAGCGACCTATTTCGCCAATAATTACCTACCCTTGTAAACAAACGAAATGAAAGGTGGCCCATCCAATAATCCACCTTAAATACACCTCGAACGTGATCTCAACTTCACAAAGGGCCGCTTTGAATTGCAAATGCGTTAAGAAACGCCCAACGTTCCTCATTTACAAAAGGATTGGAGAGAAAATCAAGGGACCGTTCATTACAACGTTCTATTTATGTATGTATTAGCACTACCACCTCAAGCTAATTGGCAATTTTCTTTTATATTGCCTTTAAAGAATTAATTTATCATGGGGTGTCGGAGCACTTGAATAATTTAACTTTCATATTCAAATTGTGTGTATTTATACCCAGGGGTACCTAAAAGGCGCCTACAACTCAATTAAGCTTGAGAAATGTGTGTTTTCTGACTTGGCGTTAGTTCATACTTAATTAATAATCAATTATATACTCCCATTGGTGAATTAAAGACGGCTGGTCATTCCCAATATTAATAATGTTCCTAATTCCTAATTAATGATGGTCAATACCTTCGCATTTTTACCGAAAATCGACTACTCCAAAAATGTTCGGGAAAACACTTTTTCTGACTAATTTTGGTACGTCTCTTAGTTTGTCGATTGCATCTCTGAACCAAAATTTAAGTTATGGATTAGAAACCAATTTCGAAAGAAAATTCAAAGGGCTGTAACTTTGGAACTAGTAGCCCAATCTTGGAATTGTTTGAAATTATGGATTCTACAGGCCACGTTCTATAAGAAAATTCTTTTTCCGGGTCGATCTGAGACAATTTTTTTTGAGAGCCGAAAAAAAGGCAGTGTATAACCTTCCTTTTTTACCAAAAATCGACTGCACCAAAATTTCTCGGGAAAACACTTTTTCTTATTAATTTTGGTGCGTAGAGTCCAAAACGATTCGTACTTTTTCGATTAGACGTCTCAATCAACAGTTATGGGCAAAAAACAAATTTCGACAAAAAAATTCAAAGGGCTGTAACTTTTGATCTAGTAGTCCGATCTTGGAACTGTTTGAAATTATGGATTCTACAGGCCACATTCTATAAGAAAATATTTTTTTCCGGTCGATCTGAGACAATTTTTTTGCACCCTTATTAATTTTGGTGCGTAGAATCCAAAACAATTCGTACTTTTTCGATCAGACTTCTCAATCAAAAGTTATGGACAAAAAACCAATTTCGAAAGAAAGTTCAAAGGGCTATAACTTTTGATGTAAGCCCAATCGGATTCTACACGCCAAAATCTCAGGCAAGTCGATTTTTATTGAAATATCAGCGTGTTTAACTTACACCGAGTGATATGGAAATAAATAAATCTATGCTGGAATACCTATACTACTTATATCTGGGTTTTGGGACTTAGTGGGGGAGTTGTCGAACATTTTTGGAACGAAATGCACGAGTGCGTCGCACAGTTCCACATCTATTGCTTCTTCTTTTGATAATATTCACTTGGATTTTCAACCATTTCCTGGAGATGGGCCATCGAATGATCGCGATGCTGTCCGAGAGGTACCACGTTCTGGACTTTAGAAGAGGTTAACCACGTTTTCATGTGTGATCCCGAATAAAAAATGGAGCTGGTCAGTTCCACTCTTGAATGGGATACAGGGTGCGTCAAATACTTTTACCTCTAATTACTTCTGATACATTTGCTTTTTTAGTCTGTTCACTTGGATTTTCACCTACTTCCTGGAGATGGAAAGGTAGGCTATCGAATGATCGCGACGCCGTCCGACAGACCTTCAGACCAAGTTTTCATATGTGATCCTTAAAGATGGAGGTGGCCGGTATCACTCTGGAAAGGGATATAGGGTGCGTCAAATACCTTACCCTCTATTGCTTCTGATACATTTTTTTTTAGATTATGCTGTTCGAGGGGAGGGGAGTGATTCCTAATTTCACATGGAGCCGTCAACCCCAGTTTGGAAATTCTCTTACGGCCGAATAAGTACAGTTCAGACGGTGAGTAAATTTATTAACAAAAACCAAATACATCTTAAATCACAAGTTATTGTGTAGCATGTAACATAATGTTTTTTGTATTGTTTTAGGGCATACCAGGTAACCACTTCTTCTTGACATACCAATCTCCTCTCTGTGGAAGGTACAGCGACAGGTGCAGTAAGGAAACCACGTGCATAGGATTCTGGAAAGTTAAAGTCAGTTGTGAGTACACTCGACTAAGGTCTTGGACGCGCATTTAGTACAGCACACATACGGATGGTAGTCTTCAGATTGGCGATTTGCTAATGAAAGCTAGAACTGCCATAAAGCTTCGTGTGAAAAAAGTATTAAAAAAAGATTCAAAAGAGACTTTTTTATTTTTAAATTGGTTTTTTGAATTTTTGAAGAACGTTTTTTAATTTTTAAAGTTTTTTGAAACTTTAAAAAAAGTTTTTTAAAATTTTAAAGAAAGTTTTTAAAATTTTTAAAGTTTTTTGAAATTTTAAAGAAAGTTTTTTGAAATTTTAAAGAAAGTTTTTTGAATTTTTTAAAGTTTTTTGACATTTTAAAGAAAGTTTTTTTAATTTTTTAAGTTTTTTGAAATTTTAAAGAAAGTTTTTTGAAATTTTAAAGAAAGTTTTTTAATTTTGAAGTTTAAAGAAAGTTTCTTGAAATTTTAAAGAAAGTTTTTTGAAATTTTAAAGAAAGTTTCTGAATTTTTTAGTTTCTTTAATTTTTAAAGAAATTTTTTTGAATTTTTAAAGAAAGTTTTTTGAATTTTTAAAGTTTTTTGAAATTTTAAAGAAAGTTTTTTGAAATTTTAAAGAAAGTTTTTTGAAATTTTAAAGAAAGTTTTTTGAATTTTTTAAGTTTCTTGAAATTTTAAAGAAAGTTTTTTGAAATTTTAAAGAAAGTTTTTTGAATTAAGTTTTTTGAAATTTTAAAGAAAGTTTCTTGAAATTTTAAAGAAAGTTTTTTTAATTTTGAAGTTTCTTGAAATTTTAAAGAAAGTTTCTTGAAATTTTAAAGAAAGTTTCTTGAAATTTTAAAGAAATTTTTTTGAATTTTTAAAGAAAGTTTTTTGAATTTTTTAAGTTTCTTGAAATTTTAAAGAAAGTTTTTTGAAATTTTAAAGAAAGTTTTTTGAATTAAGTTTTTTGAAATTTTAAAGAAAGTTTCTTGAAATTTTAAAGAAAGTTTTTTTAATTTTGAAGTTTCTTGAAATTTTAAAGAAAGTTTCTTGAAATTTTAAAGAAAGTTTCTTGAAATTTTAAAGAAATTTTTTTGAATTTTTAAAGAAAGTTTTTTGAATTTTTTAAGTTTCTTGAAATTTTAAAGAAAGTTTTTTGAAATTTTAAAGAAAGTTTTTTGAATTAAGTTTTTTGAAATTTTAAAGAAAGTTTCTTGAAATTTTAAAGAAAGTTTTTTTTAATTTTAAAGAAAGTTTTTTGAATTTTGAAGTTTCTTGAATTTTTAAAGAAAGTTTTTTGAATTTTTAAAGTTTCTTGAAATTTTAAAGAAAGTTTCTTGAAATTTTAAAGAAAGTTTTTTTAATTTTGAAGTTTCTTGAAATTTTAAAGAAAGTTTCTTTGAAATTTTAAAGAAAGTTTTTTGAATTTTGAATTTTCTTGAATTTTTAAAGAAAGTTTTTTGAATTTTTAAAGTTTCTTGAAATTTCAAAGAAAGTTTTTTGAAATGTTAGAGAAAGTTTTTGAATTTTTAAAGTTTCTTTAATTTTTAAAGAAAGTTTTGAATTTTTTAAAGAAGTTCTTGAATTTTTAAAGAAAGTTTTTTGATATTTTAAAGAAGAAAGTTTTTCGAATTTCCAAATTGTTTTTGAAAGCAAGTTTTTTGAATTCAAATTGTACGGATTCTTAATCTCAGTGCTTTCAAAAAAGTTAACCTACCGAGGCTCGATCTCTTGCTACCACCAATCTGCAGATTGCCTATCAAAGGGCAGTCAAAGGGCGCTGTGACACGGTATTGGGGGCTATTAATTACTCTGAAGTCAAACAAATCACATGAAATAAGTTTCTTTTTGTAACATTTTTTTGTGCCGATGATAATTTGAAAAATAAATAACTTGATAAGTGTTCTTTGTCGCCAATTTGTTTTGTTCCTTGATCCCAAACATCAAAGAGGCAAAAATAGAATTTGCCAGCGACAGGCAGAATTTCCATTAGAAGTTCAAGTGCAATGTCATCAAGTTATTCACTTTGATTGAGTACTACATTCTCCAAAAGTAGCTTACATACCTTAGGATAATGTCCTAGTTAACGGTTGGGACGATGATGATGGCGCCGAATTCGATGTGGAGGATAGTGCTTCATATCTGCCTTGTTGCGCTTTGCCGACAATCTCTCAGGTTTCCAAAGACGGTGCTCTGTATGAATTCGAATCTTCGCATCTTCTTTGGAATGGTGTCGCCGTTTTGGACTGCTAGCGAGTATAGGTAGGTACTGCCCGAGACCGTGTCTAAAAGCATAATAAGATGGGTAAGTATGTATCCTAGAGTAGGGGAGGTATAAGAAGAAGAAGTAAATCGAAGTGATTCTGAAAGTGTCATCGCTCCGGATAGACAGACAGAGAGAATGTAAGATTTCATGAAGATTTTCAGTTTATCCATTTCTACAACAGTAGGTAGTCCAAAAGTTTAGTTGCTTGTTATAACATGGAATTGAAAATTGTAACAGTCGATTACTCATATTTAATTATTGCTACATATTTATAAATAAGCTGTTCACAATTTTGCCCTGTATATTGTCTGTTATGCAGACGGGGTGTCCCAATTATAATTTGAACCCACAAATACCTTAATCAGTGCTCGACAACGAAATTAAATCCCATTCTCAAGTAATTCAATCGGTTGCATTAGATAAGGGGTTCTACTATTTAATGACATACATACAGGGACTGAGCAAAGAATTGAATAGGCTTTCAAAATGACGTATCATACGAACGTATACCTATGCCCTTTAAATTTGTTAAGATGGATGAATCGTAGGTAAGTATTGAAAATTGCAAATTGATTCGTATTTGCTTAATTGAATGTGAAATCCATTGTTCAAGTTGAGAAGAAAAGCGAAACCAATGGCGGATTTACAATGGCTCGACGGTTTTGTTCTAATTTTGGATTTGACTAGGCAGGCACACGGAAATGAAAAACAACGAGCCAGATGTTGAAAAAAATGTGCGTCGTAAAGGCATCGAACATTATTTTTTTAAATATAGCAACGCAAAATCTATTAGACTATTCGATAGAGATCTTGTAAACCGTAAGAGAAACAAAGTCGCTTTACACAAAGGTATGTAGAATTTTATGCTAATTAATTTTCCGTTTCAAAATCTCTTGTAGCTCTACGCAAATAGCAAGTTCTGGATTGTTTAAAAATACTTAACATTTTTTGTTTATTGTGCAGCATAGTCTCTATCAACATGGCCATGGAATTATGCCCATAAAAAATACATTGCAAACTTCAATGCAAAAATTGCAATGCAAAATTAATTTCCAAATGAAATGATTTTATAATTTTTTTCTCTATCCAATGTAAAAATCCAATATGCCGTCCATAAAGAATAAGAAAGTTAATGTGAATGACTCGAAACCCACAACTGATTTAAGCGAAAAAAACTCACCCTGTACTAATGTTTGTTTTTATTTCTGTAAGATATACATGTTTGGGCCAAACCTCCTGCCCTCTAAAATCTGCCGCCCCTAGGCGACTCGGCCTGCTAGTAAATCCGCCACTGATCGGAATACAATAAAGATGCTTAGGCAAATGGAAAGTGAATTAAAGGGATTGCAAAGGAGACTAATAAATTCAATACGAAACTAGATCAAAATAACTTGAAGCTGGATATAAAGGAGTACTTATTAGACACATTATTTCTGGATATCACTCGTGTAATTATTAAGTTTCGAGGAATACTCTCTCTCCTTTTTCAAGCTTACGACTGTAATATATACAATAGTATTATACAGGGTGGTGACTTGCGTCACGCATCATAGGGATTTCAATGTAAAATTCATAACATGCAACTATTGGCTCCCCAAATTATTTTAGAGCAAAAATGTATTAAAGTTTTTTGTAGAAAAAAAATCTTTACGTCAATAAACCTTATTAGTTTTCAATTTTTTACATAATAAAGACGGAAAATTGGAAAAATAAAACCCGCATCTTTTGCAATAATCTGCGATGCCATGGAATTTTCTAAAACAAAAAGATGTCCAGTTATCAATTAGCAGTAGTTCGAAATGGATTTTATGATTGACTTGGTTACTGCCTTGCAGTTAATGGTGACTTATTCGAACATTTATTGTAAATTGTTATATTAGGAAACCGTTTTTAGTCATTTGGTCTTTCTTTATGTTGAATTCGCTGTTCTAAATATAATACATTGCGATCAAAAATGAGTGACCGTCGAGTCACCTTTGGAATTTTTGTTTACATGGGAAATCGTACTTAACTTCAACTTCCAAAGGCGACTCGACAGTCATTCATTTTTGATCGCCCGATACTTTTTGATAGAATTTGATTTGTTTTATAGCAGACATTCCATGGCATGACGGATATTGTAGTTTTTGTATTATAAAATTCCATGGCATCACAGATTATTGAAAAAGATGCGGGTTTTATTTTTCCAATTTTCTGTCTTCATTATGTAAAAAATTGGAAACTAACGCGGTTGATTGACGTAAAAAATTGTTGTCTATAAAAAACCTTAATACATTTTTGGTCTAAAATAATTTGGGGAGCCAATAATGGCATGTTATGAATTTTACATTGAAATCCCTATGATGCGCGACGCAAGTCACCACCCTGTATATGAAATATGCTAACTATGCATTAGAAATGACAGATTATTTGAATTTCGATCGATTTCGTGTAATGGGTCCTTGGTAAGGTAATTTAGATATCGAACTGAATAAGTTTTCATTTGAGGAACTTGAGACCTTTCCACGGTGCCATGGTGACAAGAAGATGCCGTCCGCTTACGACTGTTTATTTTGGAATTATTTTTGTAACCACCGAAGGCTCTCGTCATGGCGAAGACGAGGGCCAATTTACCTAGCTTTGCATCGTTTTGCCGCTTTCGCAATAGCTGACCGTTATAAATTAAGTTAAGCGCGTATTAACTTTTCTTACGTTAATTAAGGAAGGGGTGAAGTATATCTTTTTCCCGATTTTCCGCTTCTGTTGTTCCCTAGACACCGCTAATGAGTTTGTGATTTGTTGCTTTATTTCCTTTAGGAAAATTAGCGTCAGGGCCGTATGCCATTTTTTGTTTTAGGTAATCCGGAAGTGATCGTCGCCATTTTGTTACTGAACTCGTGTCGATCCCTGGTACAACCGTTTCTCCACTTCAGATTTACGCAAGGGCTTTCAACACCGGTCCACCGAAGTCGCCCTATGTCCAAGGTTTAGGGGATGATTAATTAAACCTTGATGGCGCCCGAGCGATCCGTTCGTCCCCAATGAGATACTTTGAGTTGTCAACTATTATTTTGTTCCTTAATTAAATGCACTTTAACTAATTGTTGTGTCTCACTGGTTTAGAGCTCGGGCGGAAGTTCGTTCGATATATCTATACTTATTGATTAAGACAATTTGGTCGTTTTTGAATTTCAATAGCTTCTCCAATTAGTCGACCTTTTAAATGTTGCACTGGTAGTGCGGTCACATTAGCTCCAAAAGAACATATTGTTATGAACAAAAAACCAAGACAAAATGGGAAAATGCAATTTTTTCGCAAAAATGTAGAGAAAGGAATTTGTTTATAAGATACAATTGGTATGAAACATTCATTTTCAGATGTTACTGTTTAGATATAAAAAAGTAATTCCGAAAGTTAACAATCCATTATTACAAAGTAAAAGTCATCCGATCTCGAGTTGTTAAATATCCCCTGGTGACTGTGTAAATAAACTCCAGAGCAATTTTTTAAACATTTTTTGGTGGACATAGGTGAACAATTTTCAAAAAAACTCACGTTTTTGGTCGAACTTTTCCCTCTAGCTCATTACACATGTCAATGATTCTTGAAGACAACCATCAACTTGTACGTGCAAAGTGTTGAGGAAAGCTAGAGGAAAAGTTTTACCGAAAACGAAAGTTTTTTCAAAAGCCCGTAGCGGGAAACAATGCGTTTTTTGTAAAAAATGCACAAAAACAAAGTTGTCGAAAACTTGATGAGCTTTCGATTTCGGTAAGAAATGTTTTCCTACGACCCCCATTTTCGGGATATAGCCGAAAAACTGCAAAACTCTACCTTTAACCCCCTCCCCACCCTCCAATGGTACAGAAATCGCTCGGAATTACACAATCACAAGAGGATCTTCAACCACACATTCCCGAAAAAAATGGAACTACACGAATTATTTTTTCTATTTGCCGTTTTTTGGTATAAAATGAGTGGACTACTCTGGGAGTCATCCAGTTTGAAAAACAGCATCGTTTTTTTTTAAATTTGTTTATTTAATTAATCAATGACTATGAAACCTATGGTGATCCGGTTTGTCATATTGTTTTGTTAGCAAAAAAAGTGACCAAATACGGATTTTCCATAAAAAAAACAATAACATAACAATACAAATTTGAAAATGAACATTTCGTACCAACTGTATCTTATAAAAACTTCGATTATATGTTTAAAATAATTTTTTCCCTCAGTGAGATAATTTAAGTCAAATGCGAAAAAGACGAAATTTTCCACTTTTTTCTTCGTTTTTTGTTTATAACAATGTACTAGGTTTCGTTGAGTGAAGTGACAAACAACATCCAGTTTAAACTATTATTCAAGCTAATTTGACTGGACTCCAAGTGCAATATTTAAAAGCTCATGACTTCCTAACATTTGGAACAATGTTTACAAGATTAAACCTTAAATCGTCTTCAAAATTCAAGTTCTGCGAATGAAGATTTGCCTATAGTTCGACATGTAAATTATTTAAAAGTATTTTGAATTAACACATGGCTACCTAACTTTCTGGTACCAGCACATAAAAAGTCTACAGCGGGCTATGTTCTTACGTGCCAGGTTCAGTATTTCGTTGTATAATCACACTGTGCACATTTTAAAACCTTTGAAGAGATGTCATTTCAGAATATGTTGAAAGTAGACATTTAACGTAGCATTTCATTAGAGAGGTTTTACTCCTTTAATTTTCAATTACTATGAACGATGCAACAATGAAAAAAGAGTCATACAAGGCAAGTTCGATTGAGAATTCTAATTGAAGACGATGAAAGAAATTGAATAAAAAAGAGAATGGAGAAAGATTGGGAAACTCAAGGCGAAATTATAGATCAACATAATATAGAACTTACGTCTAGGCGGCAAGTCTCAACTAAAGTGGTCCTAGGCTGATGATACGCAATCGAACAGGTACTCAATGCTCAATCCATTGGAACAGAAGGCTCTTTTTTAACTTCTGGTACACTTTCCATAAAAGAACCTACAAAATAGATTTATTACCAAAAATGATCTAGGTACGATCAAAGATACTTCCCTTAAAATGCGGTCAATGTTTTGAAGTGAGTGATCGTTTAGAAACGCTGTTCTCTAACCCAGTTCTTCCGTTCAGAGAAATGATGGAAGTCCGCCTAGTGGCATTATGGTCGGTACGCATTTTAAGATGTGCTTGTACTTGTTGCTTCAGGAGTTTTATATTGAACTCATGTCGGAATGGGTTTCTAAACATCTCCATTGTTATGGTCAAGAAATGTCAATTCGGCAAATTTTGTAAAACTGTAACAACAATATCTTGAAGTAATTCACTTATAAGGAACTTACGACTTTCCTTAACCACCTGGTCATTTCGTTGAAACAACGTCTCTGTAGCGACAGACTTAATATGCCCTTGGTCCCCTTCACCATGCCAGACGCCATCAGTGCGACCATCTTTAAACGCGAAGATTCCTCGCTGAAAAAGATGACGTTATAATTTTCTTATACTCATATATTACGCCTAAAGGGGGATTCCAGTAGATTTTTGTTTGAAGTTGAAGTACCTACCTATGCAAAGCTGCATAACTATTTTATTTGAATGGCTGAAACATGTGTCGGTCGTCCGAAGTTTAATTTAATCACTAAAAACTTGTAAAAATTGTATAATGGCCCTACACCAGCTCTTAACAAATCATGAGGAGGATTACACGGTTTCCCAAAAACTAATTTATAAGAATTTTTGTTTCCGTGTATACGGTAGTACTGAAAGAAAAACTCCAAGAACCAACCCCCGTTGACGAAGTACCTATATTAAACTTTTGCTATTTAAATATGTAAAAATTATTTAAACTTTTGTGTGTTTTCTAAGGCTCCTTACGGTGATACTCTGCTATTGTATTCAAGTGCTACACGAAACTTAGTTAATCTAAAGGAAAGAGGATTCTTGTTTCAGATCTCATCGATTCTAAACATTATTGTATTTTTCCTGTTACTTCTAAAACCACTAACTTTTTCCAAAAATGTTGAATTTTCTTAACTTACCATAGGTATATAACAACTAATATAATATAACTATAACGGCATTGATCTTACCTAATGTTCAGTTCCCTGATTCGGACCTCAAGTCGGTTGGTCGAACTGGAATCTGTAGCATTTTCTGGCTGCGACGTACTTCCCTTCAGATGCGACTTCCTAAACTTCTTTTGCATCTTACGTACAGCACGGCTACCACTACCACTAGCAGGAAAACTTTATTAACAATCCATTTTTAAAAAAAGATCCAAAAAACATTCTCGGGTGTGAAGCGGAAAGTGCGATTTTACTCGAAACGAAACTTTTATATGCGTATACCCAACAATAGCGCAAGGACGTTTCGTTTATTAACAAGATAAGCTCTAAATTTGTACATTACCGAGCGTTTAATAGACAAGGGTTTTATTGGGGTTAGAGAAAGAGAAAATCCTTAAATAGGAAAACCCTGTTTCAGAGGTTAGGGTGGAATCATTTGACTGCGCGGTAGGGAGATAGTTGAGGACCAATAGATGACGTTGTCCTTTTACAAGGAATATAATCTCACACTGATTGGAACAACGGAAAGATGCCCGATGATTTTTAAGTTTTCGCCACCGGATTTTGATGCGAAATACCACAAGAAAAAATTTAAAATTTACTGGTTTGCCGGCTTTTAGGGTTGTCTACAGAAACGCTGCAAATTCAGCTTGTCTTTCCCCATGAATGCTTTGTTCGCAAGGTAGTATACTGTAAATCAACACCAAATTTCGACAATTGGGCACCAGATTCAATCTAGAGCAATCAACTCATTCAGGACAATGCGAAGGACAATGTGAGAAAAGGAAAAAAGTTCGCCGTATTACAATCGTCAAAAAAACTTGAACTATTTATTTCGTTGATTGTTCCTGGGACCTTATGCATAATTAAAAGAAAAAATCGCAAAAAATTTTAAGCAAATAAATGCTCTCATTACAACATTTACAATGTAGGATCATGCCTACAATTTGTGCTCAGGTCAATATTTGTCATTAATACCTACACTATATGAGTATAATTAGTTATACAAATAACATTATGTTTACATTTCATAGCTGTAATACATTTAGAGTCAGTAAAAATAATATTGAGTTAATAAATTATAAACATTAATTATATTCATATGGTAGCTTGTAATGAATATCAATTGTTTGTCTGCAATAACATATATTTAAGTTGACTTTAGATAAAGGAGACTTCTGCGTAGTTATGAAATTGGCCTTTAATTTTGTAGTTACATGAATAAAGTATGCATTTGATGATACTTTCGATTTTGGGCTAGTGGTATACAGACGGACAAAGTGGAAAATGCGTTAAAAATAAGATGTGAAAGGCAAATTTTGCAAAGGGGATGTGTCTATGCAAGGTTAGGGAGGATGTAAAGTATATCTCACATAAGATATCCCGCACCTGATTTTGATGTGCATAAACAAACACAAGAAAAAATGAAAAGTGCAACTAAAGTTATCGAAAATTGTCTGATATATCCCAAAAACCACCCCTAAAAATAATTTGAGTAGCCACCTCCGATCACTAACTAAAATCCTAATAATTTAAGATGTAATGATTCTGTTCTTTACGAGTTCCTAGCGAGTTTATAATTTTGCGGTGTCTGTCCGTCTGTCCGTTAGCACGATATCTCGATAACGAATAAGGTAAGGAATTTATTCAAAAAAGTGCCCGCTCTGCCAAAACTAAGAATTACGTACGTGTTAGGGGCGTAATTTGATCGGTTTATATGCAAGAAAAGGTTCCGCCACCCAGAATGGCACAATCATTCATAAAAGTATTCAAAACTTACCCTTTTCACGTGGAAAATAAACAGCTTTCAATTTTCATACGAACGTAGCGCGATACAACCGCAGTTAGAGGCGACTCATTCGCCTATGAATTGTACAATAGCTACATAATCTTATGACCGGACCGGGTACATTATCCTTATCTATGTACGGTGAAAGTAATTATCGATTACTCATAATCGCCGGTAAATATGATACATTAAATCGACCGAAAAATGCCTCTTTCTTAGAGAATCTAGTTTGTAGAAGCCCAAATGAGCAGAATTTAGAAGATTGCACCACTACAACAATAGTATTTTATAACCCTTTCTTTTTTCATTGGAAATCGGATCTCATCATGGTCATAAATTTTGATGTAATCGTTCAATCCTAAAAATTCTGATCGTTTCGGATTCATCCACGGGAATAATCTCCCACAAAAAGTTATTTCTCGGTCGTTTTACGGTGAAACAACAAGTGTAGGTACATCTCGAGGTACATCGACTCTAAATTTTGAATTGACAAGCTAATGTTCCCTGTGGGGTTTTGGAACTGAAGAGGGTTTGGTAACTTAAATGTGCTTACAAAAAGTAACACAAAAACATTAATAAACCACAATAATACATTAAAAGATCCTCAGTTGTTGACAGATTTACTGTTGAAACCCGTGCGATCTTTTTGTTGGTGTTTTTGATGATGACGTGGCGCACGGAATAAAATGAACTTCAGAACAGATAAGAATACTGTTTCTATGGAAATGACGGAAGAACCCAAGCTTGTTATTTTTGGCGTCCTGTATTCAGAATTTTCCAAAGTTTTAAAATGATTAATATGGTTTCTGATACAATAGTTATATATATAGTTTACAAGTTTTGTATTATCCACAACGATCAAGGGAAGCTAGAAATCTCGTAAAATCTCAATCCCGGTATTTGCGGGATTGTTAGATGATCCCGGGGGATCTCGCAAAACAATAAATAAATTGGCAAATAAGCAATTCTGTGCGGTTAACTTCTGTATTAAAATAAATAGCTAATTATCACAATATTTAACAAAAAAGTACCTTCAGCCTAACTTAGAACTCAAAAAAACCTTACCTGTAAAGCACAAAAAGTCTTCTAAAGTGCCTCAAAAATCATAGCAAAAGTTTAACAATTGTTAAATCTCGCGGGATCCCGCTCCATTTATGTGCGGGATTAATCTCGCAAAATGCTGCGGGATCCCGGTATTTCGGGATCCCACCATCCCGGTATTGCATTCCCTAGTTCCCAGTATATAACTTTTGATTGAGAAGTCTGATCGAAAAAGTACGAATTGTTTTGGATTCTACGCACCAAAATTAATAAGAAAAAGTGTTTTCCCGAGAAATTTTTGTGTAGTCGATTTTTGGTAAAAAAGGAAGGTTATACACTGCCTTTTTTTGAGCCCCGAAAAAAAAATTGTCTCAGATCGACCCGGAAAAAAAAATTTTCTTATAGAATGTGGCCTGTAGAATCCATAATTTCAAACAGTTCCAAGATTGGGCTACTAGTTCAAAAGTTACAGCCCTTTGAATTTTCTTTTGAAATTGGTTTCTAGTAGGGAATGCAATCCCGCAGCAAAATCTCAATCCCGGTATTTGCGGGATTGTTAGATGTTAATCCCGCGGGATCCCGGTATTTGCGGGATCTCGCAAAACTTTAAATAAATTGCCAAATAAGCAATTCTGTGCGGTTAATTTCTGTATTAAAATAAATCGCTAATTATCACAATATTTAACAAAAAAGTACCTTCGGCCTAACTTAGAACTCAAAAAAACCTTACCTGTAAAGCACAAAAAGTCTTCTAAAGTGCTTCAAAAATCATAGTACATTTTTAACGAAAAAAGTTTAACAATTATTTAAAAAATAATTCGCCGTTATCAGTTTCATTAACAAAGTAAACAGAGTCGTCCCCTTGGTCGACAAATTCCTCAGTCCCGCAAATCCCGCGGGATCCCGCTTCATTTATGTGCGGGATTAATCTCACAAAAATGCTGCGGGATCCCGGTATTTCGGTATTGCATTCCCTAGTCTCTAGTTTTGATTGAGAAGTCTGATCGAAAAAGTACGAATCATTTTGGATTCTACGCACCAAAATTAATAAGAAAAAGTGTTTTCCCGAGAAATTTTGGTGCAGTCGATTTTTGGTAAAAAAGGAAGGTTATACACTGCCCTCAAAAAAAAATCTCAGATCGACCCGGAAAAAAAAATTTCTTATAGAATGTGGCCTGTAGAATCCATAATTTTAAACAGTTCCAAGATTGGGCTACAAGTTCAAAAGTTACAGCCCTTTACTTTGTAACGGAATTACCATCACGTTTTATACCATGTGATATTAAAATCAAAAACATCTTCATGTCCAGTTTTTACTAATATTTGGATTAGGAGGTATTAAAACATGTTCGTACCTAATTCGATTTAGTTACATGTAAGTACAAATTTAAATTCATTATTTGTCAAAAGTACTGGATCAAATTCACTGAGCACTGTCTGGTCTCACTGGAGTATTTAATTCTCTTTAAATAGGTAAGGTATTCATTCAAAAAAAGTGCCCGTTCCTCCAAAACAATAAGAATTACGCGTGAAACAGCCACCCATAAACATTCATAAAGGTATTCAAAACTTACCCTTTCCACGTGGAATACAAACACCTTTTACACGAACGTAGCTCATACAACCGCACTTAGTGGCGACTCATTCGCATATGAATTACGTACATATTTACATAATTTTATAACTGCAGTGTTGATAAACAGAGGCAGGTTATCGGATTACGTGGATAGGTATATTATGCTTAAGTATAATATAACGAGCGACTACATCAAACCGCGTTACTTTTTTGGAGAAATTGGTTATCTATCCATAACTTTTGATTTTAAGTTCCAATCTCGAAAATTCTGAACGTTTTGGATTTTACAGGACAAAATCTACATCAAAAAGTTTCGAAGTGCATTTTCCTTGTGTTAATGTATTTAATTCAATTCGCAATAAACTGAAAGATTTTTTTATTGATATCTTCCCAGGTATTACGGCGTTTATGGGGAAACAGTGCAAGCTTACCAAACTTATTGTGCGGATAAGTTGGTGTAATAGATTCCCCACGTCGACGAAGTGTAACAGACATTTTCTAATACCCTAATGCAGAGCTGGGTAGAGCAGCTTGAGGGCTTTGTGCTTGTAAAAGGGCTTCAAGTCCTTTCAGCACTTTCAAGACCTGAACTTTAAGCACTTTCTTGTGTTTGTAATTAGGACTTGGTAATTGAATTACTTTTCCAAAGTGCTTGGGGCTTTGCACTTCAAGGAAAATTGCTTCAAGCCTTTTTCAAAAGTGCTGTGTGCTTGTAAAAGTGCTTTCAAGCGCTTTCAGGGCTTCCATCAAGCACTGTGCTTGTCTAATAAGAACACGGTATCGCATAGATTCAGTATGCTTTAATGAGAGTTATTTAATTAAAAGTTTTGCGTAATGTGCTTGTGTTTTAATTTTACAATTTAATTTAAACTTTTTTTAAAGTTTTTGGGCAGTCTACGTAGCTGAAAAACTATAGTGACTTTCCATATATCCTTACAAGAACATGTGTACCAATTTTCAAAGCGATCGGACGTTTCTACACAAAGTTATCGTGCACACGGACAAACAGCAATGACAAAATTATAAACGATCTCAAGGATCGTTAATAAGGACTCGGGACTTCGAGCAAAAGTGTTTCAAGCGCTTTTCCTAAAAGTGCATTGTGCTTGGAAAAGTGTTCAAGTCCTTTCAGGGCTTCAAGCCCTCAAATTGTGTACAAGCCTTGTCCTAAAGTGCTTTGTGCTTGAAGTTCAAAGCCCTTTTAGAAGTAATTTGTAATTTCAAGTATTTCTGATGACCGGTAGTAATTTGTGCTTGAGTAGCGAAGCACATTGACTAAGGGCTTTGTGCTTCAAGCCCTTTCAGTAAGGGCTTTGCCCTAATGCTTTAAAGACTTAAAGTTCATAACGGAATTTAAACAAATTAATGGAACGACCCTGTATATTACTCATGACAATAGACACCGACAAAGATGGTTCGATGCGCCACATCCCTAACCGCAAATCAGCTGATATCTTTCAAACTATCTACAATCTACATATGCTCTTCCTGGTTTCTTATCATGATCCATGAAGAACTACACAACGTTATCGGTTTAATAAAAACAAATAAACTTACAAGAAACGTCGCTGTGTTAATTCTATTCCTATCGACAGTCATCTCGCTACTCTTTAGGTTCGAACTTTTGTGTCGCATGTCGAATCGGCTCTCACAAATTATTCTAGCTTTCTAGCGGGCTTATTCATTTTTGTAAATTATGTCCTGGGATTCACGGTCTGCTGGTTTTTGATACGGTACCAAGCAGAGGCGTCGTTCTGTTTACACCGACTGGCCAGCTTCTATCGAATACACCTTCTACCTCATAAATCACTACACTCGCCCTGTCCGATTTGCAAAACGGACCGATGTACACGCCACCGCACTCAGCATTTAACGCCATGGAAAAACTTGTACGTTAGTGAGGAGCTAAATGATGCTGTTGAGCATGTATGTACAAACACGAAGACGTGTCGTATACATTTGCTGCTTTCAGTTTTATAATACCATTTTGGGTAGGTTTGTGTCATCGTGGTACGGAAACGTTACAAAGGATGTGACTTTTGTTAATGAGCTGAAAGTGTCACTGCGTTTTGCCACTTCGTCGCTAGTGAATCAGATTTTATCAGTCGACTGTAGTCGAGTGATCGCTAAGAAGTTGATTCCGTGTGCGATCAAGCACGTAGACGACTACTTGTGCATGCGACAAATTGCCAATTTAAAGAAGGCGAGCTTTGATGATGTCGCCGTCGAGTATTTGGGTAAAAGACTTCATCTGGCAACTACTAATCGCAACAACGAGCTCAGTTATCTACGACAGCTCACTGCAGCCTTGCTACCTCAAGTATTACCCGTAGATTGCATGAAGTGCAAGTACGGCTGAGTATTTCTTCCCTACACAAGCTTTAATTGTGCCGTTTTAGTAATTACAAAGTTTTAATTCGCGAGATAGTAACCGGATGGGTGCTACTGCCGCTTATGGATGTCTTAGCCAGTCCGCATATGATCAACTCGCTGGTGATATTAATAGCAACTTACAAGCCGAAAGGCTCCTCTCCTTCGCACTCACAATCGAAATCCGTCGAGTTTCTGCACAGCTTTGTTAATAAAGATCAAGTGCAATCATCCTTCGCGACCGATCTAAAAAGCATTTTGAAAACCACCGATCTATTGTATGCTTTTATGCAGTTTCTAAAGCAGGAAGGTCCAGTACATGTTTTACAGTTCTGTTTAGACATCGGTAATTTGATCATAGTACGGCCACATGTGGATCTTATTTTATACTCAGACTTTAAAGTTCCAATTTGCAGTTTGTGCCCAGATTTCGGGCTTTAATGTTTAAACTCCAAATTTAATGTCTGAATTTTCGTTCAGAAGTCCAAACTCAAGACTTGATTTAATAAGCCTCAAGTCTACATTTTTTTATTGAATCAAATTAATTTTATTCCATAGTCCATAATGGCGGGTTTATACAATCATTATCACTAGTTCACTATCATTATACAAGGTGTCTTAAATTGAGTAGGATAACATGGCTGGCCATTTTTAAAAAGTTCAATTGAATAAGAAAGAGAGCTATTGAAAAAAGTTTCAAATAAAAGTTGCAAGATTCGATGGGATAAATTCAAAGGGCGTAAAAAAACTTTTTTAAAGTGGCGGTTTTCGAGATATTAAAGGAGCCATAACGGCTTAAAAATTTTTTAAAATTTTTTTCGAATACACATGCCAAAGTGACTTCAAAAACTCGACAAAAAAGTTTATTACAGTTTTTTAGTTTTTGAGAAGTTTTGATGATTGCATATAAACCCACCATTAGTATTTCGTTACATCATTCAGAAATAGCCAATAGAAACAAAGGTATATTGTTCATCGCTAATAAGTATAACTAACGAAACCATCTTCTATTGGCTTATGTCTTAGTGATTTAATGATAGTAATAATTGTATAAACCCACCCACCGTTATAGTAGTTTAGTATCATTCAGAATTAGCCAATAGAAACCAAGATTTATTGTGCGTTGCTAACCAACGAAAAACCATACCTTTGTTTCTATTGGCTATTTCTTAATGGTTACAGGATAGCGAACTAATGATAATGATTGTATAAACCCGCCATATCATACATAATTGAATTCAAACCTAAAGAGGTTTTAAGTCATTTAGAATTGAAATCATATCCATGTAATTTGAATCGAATTAAATAAGCCTCAAGCCAATATGCCATAGTCAGGCGTGTAGGCTCTTTATAAATCATGCTTATATCCATAGAAAGCATGCAATATTAACCTTCATTTGTTCATTGCCTTCTGGAAAAGAGCCTAGGGGAATTTAGAAAGCTTTGGAAAAGCATTGGAGACGGTTTAGAGGAATAAAACACTCGTTCTAGATCAGACTACGTATTTAGAGTTTAAATTCTAAATTTGGGTTTGGATTACATTAAAGAAAATCCATATGAGGCCGTCTAAGCGTTCATCCATTGACAATAACTAATTACATAAGGCGGTTTTAGAGGAATTTAACCACAAGCTGCTCATTCCGGATATGTCGAAGAAGCAGCTTGAGATCCTGCATACCGAGGCCCTTAACATTTATAAGATATACTTTGACGATAAAAGTGACGATTACATCGGCTGTGGACGAGATATCGAGTTGAAATTGTGGCAGCTACTGCAAGAGGGCGTTTACCACGTGGCCAAACTCCAAACGTCGGAGCCGCTGTATAAGGCGTACGATTTCGCGTTTAACGTTCTCGAAAAGGACTGGCTGCCCCAATTTTTTCATAGCAATGAGGTAAATGGCAACGAAAGGGGTGGTAGAGTAAAATTTCTCTTTTTAGTTCTACAGTTATTTGTGTGGGCCTAAACTAACATCGTCCTATACTAAAGTGCCACCACACGGTGCAAGGTTGGTATTACGATAAGTGCATTTTTTTACTTACAGTTTTCATTGCTTTTTTACTGCAACATTTTACTAATCAGTTTTAAAGGCTTTTCATGCTCAATCATGGATCTCCAACGAAAGTAAGGTAGGTGTATAGAGACACATAAGCTTCAAATAAAAGTAAAAATTTCATCAAAAGATTTCCCAGGAAGACCATAGGTGAAAATGCTTTATAGTAAATTTGTAATGAGCATAATCGCAATTGTACTTACATCCCTGTAGGAATAAGAAAACATTCGACTCATCCACCCAAGGAACCGTAGCCAAAATCAGTAGCGGACTGGGACGCATCAAGGGTGTTCTGAAACCAAACCAACCGGTAGAGGGCTCCATTTTTACACCCGAACTCTACTCGAATAACCCAACTACATTCGAAGAGGACATTTTTCTCTCCGACTGCGAAGGTATCTTTAGAGATCTGAGCACCTGGCGCATTTCGATACCATCAGTGGAGGTTCACCAGGTTCGACGCCTGGGGTTGATTGACACATTTGTGATAGTAAGATTGTAGCTAGGGTCCTCCAAGTCGTATTATATTTTTAACATTCACGTTCAACGAATCGATACGATTTCGGACAACGAAATCAGACACTGGATCGTTCAGCGCAAAGATCAAGATTTTCAGACGCTCAACACGAAACTGATCGAGTTCCATGGCGGAAACGAGATTTGTGGCTCGCCTCTTCCTTCGCGAAGGTGACAAAGCTATTAAAATTCGTGAAATAACTTTTCATTGCAGAGCGATGATGTCGCTGGAGACGCGCAAAGTTAAACACGAGAATTTTCTGCGGCTTCTTCTGCAAAAACCAAGTTTGCGGGGCAGCGACCTAATTCACACGTTTCTAACGACAGACCAAGACTTTACAATACTCGTCACGTCCGCAGTTCCAGTCGTAGAAGATTTGGGAAACATCTACCAATCAGTCGCGTTTAAGCTTCGCAAGGAAAAAGGACAGCACCTGGATCCATTCGTCAATAATTTCTTGGCTTCCACTAGCAAGGTCAAACAAAAGTACGTGTAAACCCTTCACCGAGTGTTTGCTGATTTTTTTATTCCGCTAGCAAAATCGAACTGGCGGAGGTGGGGGAGGAACTACAAATCATCGTACCTGACATTCCACCAAAGCCCGCGACACTTGAGAATGACACTTTCAAGGATAATTTCGGAATCCTCTACAAGAAAGTGGAAAATAGCTCGTCGTCATCGTTCAATCCAGACGGCTTTACGGAGTCTCTCTTCTATCTATGTAAAACCACCCTAAAATCACAGACAGTTTGTCATTGTAGGTGTTTTAGTGAAGCACATTTTCAAAATACGCAAAGGTATTTTGAAGCTATTCGCCGCTGTGTGTAGCGTGGCGCAGGAGGCCGTGGAGAAACTGAGTAGACACTATATCGATCGCAAGCTGCGCACCTCTCTGTCACAGTCCAATCTGCGCGATCTCGTTGTTTTATTGGAAGGTAACTAAGAGGTGTGGTCGTGGATTTTTCAAATTTACTTGTAGAAGCAATTTTTGAACCAAGTGTTCAAACGAGCAAAGACGAATTGGAGAAACGCAGACTAAGAGCGATACAGGAGTTGGATGGAATGGTACCTTACGTTGCGCAAAAGCTTTTAGGTGATAATTTCACAAACGGCCTTGCTGTTCTTTTAGAGATTTTACAAAATCCTTTATATAATAAACAGGTAATGTCCAACGATTTACTTTACCTTTGCCAATTGGATGGTTTTAGCTCGTGTACAACTTACTGGACATTGTTGTTTCGGAAATTTATCCACAAGTGAATGAAGCAAAGAGGTAGACTAATTCTACTGTATCTCTTTTAATATAAATATTAAAGCCTATGTTAATATTGTTGTATATTTCTTTCTTAGGGTTGGTTTTCTGTCTATTTTGTAAATAGTGCCAGTTTTGACTTATTAAAAAAGATACGTATTTTACCCTATTTTAGGGATAAACCTCTGTTAATTATTGTTCGTTTTTCGTTTAAATAAATTTTATTTAGAGATTAGTAAATATCGACTCGCAACGTTCCTAAAAGTATATCACTATTAAACAAAGGTAAGGATCGTAAAGGACTGTAAAACATGATAAATCAATTTGGTTAAACTGACTCATAAAATGATTGAATGTATATAAAAAAAGAACATCACAATGGCATTGGCTCTAATCCAGCAATGGCTGCATAGTAACACTGGAGAGTACAGGTGACAAAGCGAGTAATAAATTCATGATATTAAAGTCAAACAGAAAGACATACAAAACGTTCATTTAGAAGACCCCCTTCTCGTATTGCTTACGCATCGTCCGGGGCGGGCTCAAAACGGAATTCGAGGCGTATCATGGTTTCAAAAAACATTTTTCTTGCGGTGTCTGAGTTACCTACAACAAAATTTGGGAAGATTTTAACTATGTCTCGGGAACAATTTCTATTCCAGATGGTTACCTCTGGAGAACTCTTCTAGACAAAGGATTTTTTTGGAAGGTGGTTACAAAAAATAATTCTATTTGGATAAGCTTCCTAGGAAAATATTTCTAAGGTAATTTATGAAATTTTCGAAGATGGGTTTTAAGGAAATTTCCAAGAGGTAGCCAATGGTGATCAACACACTAAAGCTGCGAGCAAAAATTTTTTGTGGCAGTTCACCTGGCTAGATACAAATAATTTACGAGTGGAGGGAAGAAGTACAGCCCAATTATTAAAAAAATTATCAAAGTCCTCGTGTGAGATCGAAGGGACTTCACCGCATTTTTGTGTGGCAGATCAGTATTCTATTAGCCACTTTTGACTCAACCACGAATAAAAGATCTTGTCGAAGGATACCACATTCCCTTTGACGGTACCCACTTCCGACGTCCCGTTCACCCGCAATTCGCGTTTGAAGATTTGACTCCACCATCAGTAAAATCATGTCGGGGGCTACCACATTTCCTTTTTCGCTGCATACTTATATTACACCCACATTTTGGTGGAACTCGCTAAAAACCTTCCACAAGACAGTACTTAATTTTTGGGGGGCACTTCTCATTGCTCGAGCTTCTATTGGCGACACGAGAAAGAGAGACAGCCATTCGAGATTTACGAAATGTTAAAACGCGACAGAATTCGCAACGGAAGGTAAAAGGTGCCCGAAGTTGACTTACCTCTCGATGAAGCGCGCGCGCGCCTTGCAAAAGGTCGTCAATTTCGCCCCTAGGCCAAAAAACAAAATTCCGCCACGCAGGAGTTGTGCGCGTTTACATCTTTCCGACGACACCAATTTGAAAAGAATTGGACCAAAACTTTAGTAGAAGATAGGAAGAAACTGAAAAACCTTCACGTCAATATACTACGCTCGAGGACGACGCCCAGATGTCGCCAACCCCACATCATGTAGCCCTGTCCCCAAGTTTTACAAATTACACGGCCTTGTAGATACACGTACACCCGTTGCCTTTCTACAAGAGTTCTTGTACGCGCCCACATTTGCTGCCAGCCAGCCAAAGTGAGATTAAAAGCTACTTTTTACAAATAAATTTGCAAAAATGCGCTAAAAATGTCAAGACTGCAAAGGTAATAGAAACGGACAGGCAACGACAACATACCTAGAACTGGCCCATGCGACATGCCTTTGGATGCAAAAATCTCCAGGTACCATACGATTTTCTTTTGCTGCTACTGTGAATAAGTAATATTTTCCTAAGTATAATATCAATTACTCTATTTATTTACAATAAATTTATAAAGAAAAATTGGTATATCACAAGTAATAACATTTTTGTTTTTTATAAAAACAACAGTAAAAATTTTACTTTACAATGCTTTCTCTCTATACAAGATGATTAAAAAAATGAGCACCTATACAAAAGCATGAGATTACAACTGAGAGCAATTAATAGACATGTATACACAATTTACTTAACGTACCCCCGCACAAAAGCACTTTCATCAAATTATCTACACTCAATAATTAAATACATTCGAATATGAAGTAGCGTTTGTGTTTTAAAACAAACGAAAATAAAAACCGAAACAGTTTTGCACCGATTTATCATCCCCTCTTTGGCACATGCGACAGGGTGTCAAAATAATATCAGAAATCTAATACTGAAAATGGAGAGTATAGTGAAATGAAATTATGCAAATGCGAAAGATCTTTTATAATCACCCTGTGGTAATTACAGAGTGGCACATTAATAGTTAGCAACGCCATCTACTGTACTCTGTGAACGTGGCCATCCTGTACGTTTAGTGGGACGGAGAGAATTGAAGCACCTAATCAAAGTGCACATGAAGATCAGAGTTGTGGAGATTCTTTTTGAGCAGTTTGCATAAGCTTTTAAAAATCAGTCGACTATTTACAAAACTTGAGACGAGATTCGTTCACACACGCACATTTTTTGCTAGTTTTTAAATCGTTCGACAATTTGACTAAAAGTCGCCTTCCCCACGTTCGTGCTCACCGTCTGAATACTTTTAAATAGGCGATCCGGCGATAGATCATCGGGCAGCCGCGTTAGGAACTGCGCACCATGTAAAAAATCCATCGACATTAACTGTTCTTGATTTAAGTATAGGACACCTAAGTGTATTAATTGCGGTTAGTACGGTTCTATAGTTCGTCTCAGAAGGAGGAGGAGTTCCCTCTCATTCTGGACCAGAGCATACCTACCTAAAGCTGTGCGGAAGAGGAATTCGTCACCGTCTCTCAAAAATATATCCCACACACGGCAGGTGACATCTAGCGGCATCGCCTTGGCGAAAATTGTATAAATCCAGTCGAGCAGGTACAAGTCGGGCGTGAGTCCGGACTTTTGGAAGTGCGCGTACAATTTGGGCATGTTATGGTTGAACACCTCATTGTACGCGTTGTAGTAGGCCTGCATTTGGTTCTGATTGACGGTGAAGGCGGCAAGATGAAGCGGCCGATTTAGCAGATTGGCAAAGCATACGAACGCGTCTAAATCGTCCATGTTGAGGATTAAAATTGCGGCTATGAAAGACATTCCCTGAACGTAACCGACGTCCGGTCTGTAGCACACGTACGCGGCAAGAAGAGAGTGTAGCACCTCGGAGTACGGACCGCCCTCTTGAAATATGCAAAGGTGGGGAAATATCCTGGAGATATCCAACTGGATGACGTCCATGCTGCTTTCTTGATCGACGGATTCGGATGGCGGCTCCGGGAAGTTGTTGAGGCGATTTTGGGCGCGTTGCAGGCAGATTTCGTACAGCTGCTGTGTGAGATTTAGGTCGTTTCCGATCGCCAATCGCCAAATTTTGCCACGAACGCTCGATGGAAGACCTTGCCACCACAAATCTCTCGTCTTGCGGCTGTTATGCCTGAAAGTTAAAGCGGCCCATCAGTTTCCTCTGCTATTATTGGGACAAACTCAAAATTCCACTGTCGCCCAGGAAAGTAACCCGCCGGATAAGCAGTTTCTTTTGTTTTTTTATTATCATGGCCTACTACGGTGCATAAACGTGGAATTGATTAATGAGTGACTTTTGTGAACAATATTGAATACGGAGTTTACACACAGAACATCCCTTACAAAAATTGCGAAATAAAATAGCGATAGTTCCACATGAACAAAAAATAGTTATGGCACTTGGAAATTCGGAAAGTTCTTCGTGAACCCCCTGTATCACTAAATTCATCTTTCTCACTATCAAAGTGGCCGCGATTAATCTAAGTGAATTATTTGCAAAAAAATTAATGAAATGTCAAGATTACCTAAAAATCAAAATGTGAATACCTGTCAATGTAGGGGTTAAGAAATTACATCAAAATAACTAAAAATAAACAGGGTAAGCTATTTAAAAATATTGGTACTGTCGGATGAGCCTCAGGGAGACCTATCACTTTCCCTTTATGAGTACCGACATATAAAGTTTTGACCCTACCATCCGGCTCATATTCAATAGCACTGGTCCTTGCACTCGTAGAAACTTTTGAAGAAAGTTTCACAGGTTTTTTTACTCCTGTCTAGAAAGAGCTTAGAATGCTCTGAAAAGTCCTTTACGCGCTTTTCAGAGCAATCGCTTTTTCCAGCCCTTTACAGAGCTGACGATTCCACAATTCTGAAACTGACTTTGTAAAGTCACCGTGGAAAGCTTTTTAGTACTCTATAAAAGTGTGTAAAGCGCTTGAGTATTTTGTAGCTCTACAAACAAAGAAGTTATGGCTAAAAAACCGAAAAATGTCATTTTCAAAAGTGATCAACTTTGCATTTTTGCCTCAAAGTTTACAATGGATTTCTTATGGCAATAATTCCATGGCTGATTATAATGGAAACCAAATACATTCGTTTAATGTTTCGCATAGTCACCATTGGCCATGGAATTATTGCCATAAGAAATACAGTGCCAATCGTCAATTACCAAAAACAGCAGAAATCATATTTGGAAACTCTGCCATAATAGCTTCATCAAAGATACCTGTAATTTCTGTACATTATACAGTACAATCTTGATAATCCGGCAACAGTAATTCGGCATCCCCAGTGAAGAGAATGGCGTCCTAAGTGATGATATCTTGGTGCTAAAATGACTACAAGAAATCACTTTTGATCAAAGAAACACAATACAATTGATTACTTTTCCTAGTATGTAAAATTGCATATTTGTATTTTTTTTTATAATATGGTATTTTCATTATATGTACATACATTCATAGTAAAACTGGCCTTGTTTTCAATGACTTTCTTACTGGCGGATTCTCAAGATTGTGCTGTACATAGACCCAGGTGGCGCCCTCTCTGGGCACGGTCCTCATGAAGTGTAGGAATGCGCCAGCACAGAGACCAGGTTCTTTTTTTCCATCCACCCTACATATAAAACCTATTAAATAAAACTAAAGTGGTTTCAGTGCCGAGATCTAACCCACTCCCCGAATTTCTGTTACAAATCATACCTCAAGTATAAGTTATACAGTATAAGGTTCAGCGGCAGAGCATTATACATACATCGACTCCCAATTCGGAAGAACAACTTGAGTGAAATGCTTCGTAGCAGCCGCCAGCTGTTCCTCCTGTTGTATGAGCAACTTATGTTGCTTCTGTTTCGCGGCAGAATTCTGGGCCTCCTTCCTCTTGGCAGCGGCCACCATCGCCTTGTACTCCTCGCGGTGCCGCTGATCCTCCTCGAGAGCCTTTGCCGGTAAATTCGAAGGTCTACAAGTCAACTTCGACAAACGAACATCGAATGGCCCCAAAACTCACCTGATATGCTGTATCAAGGCAGACGAACTGGCGACGATCTGATGCTGTGGCGATGTTTCGCTCCCATTCTTGTTGAACAACCTCCATCCGTTCGGACTGTTAATGTGGTGTAATTTCCACGAGAACATGTTCCTGTTAAAAAACCCGGAAATGCCCTTCCTTTGGGGTTTGCATTCCGAATCATCGTCCGTACATCTGTCTTCCGGATCTAGTAAGCTACCGGACGGGGAGGGGTCGCTCAGACTAGAAACCGTACTGGAAAACGACCCGGCCTCCGTTCGTTTATGCTTGGTCTTTATCCCATTTTCCTCCGTGGTTGGCAGTTGAGGTTCGTTTGTGTCAGACGGCCGTAACAGGTGCAGTTGTTTTGTGACGGGGCTATATGCTAGAGATATGTTTTGGAGAGCTTCGTTTAACGTGACCTTATTGTTTGCACAGTTAATTTTATCACACGTACTGGACGCCAACTGAGTATTATGATTGTTTACGATTTCACAATTATTATCAGGTTTAACCTTGTCGTATCTCTCGGGCCAAGTTTTAAACCACACTTCGTGTGACGGCGAAGAAGGAGGACTATCCTGCTGGATTAGCAGTTTTGATTTCATATCACAGTTATTTGCAACATCTAAGTCGTTACAATTTAGTTTATTGTTAAGAGAATTAGGCATACTTCGACTATGACAATCTTGCTCGCTATTTCTGGATAGAACTCGCTGATAGAAACGATTTTTATGTCCCATCGGCGTCGATTTCAGTACATAATAACTTTCGACAAGATCCGAATTACATTTTATTAGATTAAGTGCTTCCGTACTCTCCGCTGATAACAAATCTGTTACCTCCTCCGTTCCATTGTAAATTGTATGAAGACTACTTTCGTTGTCGGAGTCAATATTTTTCATTCTCACATGAAAATCTTATTATCTAAACGTATGACTACTTAAATTCATTACTTTTAATTCCATTAATTTAAGTAAATAAAAATGTTTTGACATAACAGCCATTTTTAGTCATCCTCAGGATTGGGACATACTGTATACAAGAAGTCATTTTCTATACAAGAGTTCTTTCTACCGACACTAAAAACTTATATACAGGATGATGTATCACAAATCCAAAAAAAAAATAGAAAACTAAAAAGTTAAGAATTTTAGAGGAATTGGGCGCGTTTGTAGCCGAGACGTTCAATTACAATATTCCCATACCTATTAACAAAGCATACAAAGCCACAGGAGAGACTTGGTCAGCTTTGTCAGGAATAAATGTGTTTAGAGTGGTTCCGTAACCGCGTAATGTAATTATTCCATTTGGAACCTTTGAAAAATTTAATACAAAATGAATCAAAAATAGAGGGGAACAGTCAGTGGCGTACGTAGAAATGTACTCTGGGGGGGGGGGATTAAACAAGTTCGTGGTACATACAGTCAACCAGTGCGTACTAGAAGGGGGAGGGGGGGTGGGGGGTAAGAAATAAAAATTGGGTTGCAGGTTGCTGATGCTGGTAGTCATTTATCTATTTATTATTGTACAGGCGAATAGATTAGAACGGTATTTTATTTCTTACTGCTGATAGGCCCCTTTATTGCTTTTGCTTTAATTAGTCAACGAAAACTTTGAATAATAGGTATATTTATGGGCAAAAAACCAATTTCGACAAAAAATTCAAAGGGCTGTAACTTTTGATCTAGTAGTCCGATCTTGGAACTGTTTGGAATTATGGATTCTACAGGCCACATTCTATAAGAAAATATTTTTTTTCCAGTCGATCTGAGACAATTTTTTTCTGGGCAAAAAAAAGGCAGTGTATAACCTTCCTTTTTTACCAAAAATCGACTGCACCAAAATTTCTCGGGAAAAAACTTTTTCTGATTAATTTGGGTGCGTAGAATCCAAAACGATTCGTACTTTTTCGATTAGACGTCTCAATCAAAAGTTATGGGCAAAAAAATTCCTGTTTTTAAAATTTAAAATTCTTATTTTCGTGAAAGGCGGAGGTACCTCACCCCAGTAGCAGTACTAAGTACCTGATACTTATTTGTTATTTTGGGCATCAATGTAGCGAATTGCCGATCGATGCCGAATAGCCAAATCGTTGACTGCCAACACTGATCACTCACTGAATAGTGAATACTGAATACTACAGAATATTTAGATTTTAGTGACTTTAGACTTTAACCAAAACCAAAATTGCTCTCTATATATACCTATATATTATTGCCTTTATTTTAAAGTGGGCGGAGCGGATAGCGGAGTATTACCTAAATACCTAATACCTATGATGATAACTCAATTCTTCGGGGCCCCCCCCCCCCGTAAATACCAGAATGGAGTACATACAGTTGCTTACATTAGATTGCGAAATTTCATAATCCTTCCTCTTCTACCTTACGGTGTCGAGGTATATTGTGCGGAACGACCTCTCCATGCATCTCGATTTACCGCCAATTGTTCCGCCTCTCTCCAATTCATTCCCCGTGCAGTCAGGGCCTTTCGTACCTCCCCATTTCATGTTCTAGCAGGTCTGCCTCTGTTGCGCTTTTTATCTACCCCCATTTTCCAGATTTGTGTAACTTTTCTCTGTTCGCTGTATACAGAGCTGGGCAGTATTCGATTCTGTAAATACTTGTCAGTATTTAAATACTTTGTAATTAAATACACTTATGGAAGCAGTATTTGTATTTGTAACTCAAATACTTTAGCAAATATTTAGTATTTGAATACTTCGCAAAGTATTTGAATACTTTTAAGTTATTCAAATATTTGAGAACTATTTATAAATGTTTAGGGGAAGTTTCCATTATCACAAAATCAAATATAACTACAACTGAATAGGTACCGACCGATTCTGGAGTGAAACATTTTGACTCGACAGTTTACGTACAAACAATAGGGACCTTTCTTATATCCTTAAGACCATGTGTACCAATTTTCAAAGCGATCGTACGTTTCTAAACAAGTTATCATGCACACGGACAGACGGACGGACAAAAAAAGATCTATTTCAAAATCGCTAGGATTAATTTCAGAAAGGTGTACGTAGGTATCATGTACAGGACGTACGATCGATTTGAAAAGTGGTACACGTATAATTCTTAAGGATATAACTGATATAAAAAAGGTGCTGGTACCTGCTATATAATAATACACTTTTACTCCCCTTAAATTTGTATATAACAATAGAAATATTAAAAAGAAAGCTAACCTCAGGGAAAGGGACTACATTCAGCGCACAAAACGCTGTTCTTCCATGTAGCCCCCATACAAAGTACCTAGGTATAATTTGACATTTTTGAAGTAGTATATTGAGACTTTTATCTAGTATACTATTTTAAATTTTTAATGCATTTGAGTGACAAGTATTTGAATACTTTTTATAGTATTCGAATACCTTTGAAAGTACATTCTAAAGTATTTGAATAGGTATCTACTTATTTTTAAAAGTATTTGAATACTTTTCAAAGTATCTGTATTTAGTATTTGCTTGTGCTGGACATAAAAGTATTTAGTACTTATTCAAATACTTTTGATTTGTCTAAAGTTCCTGTAGGAACATGTAAATCGTTGTTATAGCCACCGAAAGCTCTCTTGCCAGGGAAGAAGAGAGATAATCAATCTTATTAAATTTTAGTTCAGTTAATTATTGATTTGTTGATGTTATTGATAGTTTTCTAACAGTATACGAAAATCCAGGATTGAAATCGGCAGTTTAAGGAAAATATAAACGTGAAAACCGATCCGGTTTGGTCCCACATTTCAAGACACAAAAGTGCATTGCTGGACTGCCGAATTTGGAGGTTTCATCAAATGAGTTACAGAAACCTGTGCGATTGAACTAGGCTTTATCTAAAAAAAAACGTGTAATTAATTTAAAAAAAGTGCATTCTTTAAGAATATGAAATAAAAACTAGTGATTACTATTTTAAAAAATTTTCTCCCCTTGACAATGCAGAGGTACGTCACGACCCCAAATTTAAAGTACGTAGATTGGTATAGTTTTTTTTTAAATTTTGGATACGATAAAAAACTTCTTTAAAAAATGTTGTTTTGTGTTAAGACAGCATTTTCACCCTGTGGAGTAGGATGGTACCAGATCACTCACTCACCACATGTGAACGAAAAAAAAATGTAAAGGGGAAGATACTAAATGGCGAAAGTTATAGCGTGAAGGGGATGACGGCAGCATGGAGGAATCTGGTGTGCAAATGAATTATGCTAATGAAGGAACGTGGAGGTAGGGTGGAATCGACTAAAAGAAAAAGTGTGTGTTAAAGGGTGAAAGTCTACTCAACGTAATGAAAGAAAAGACGGAAACGTGAACGAATAGCGAAGGGTGCATGAAGCAATGGCAAAGTTGTACGAAGGAAAGAGGCGTGATATGGAAATTGAGGAGATGCGAAAAACACGTGAGTAAGATATGAAGGATATAGGTAAGTAGGTGTAAGAGAACATGAAGAAAAGAATGTATGCAATAAACATTTACACTATTTGTTCCAAGTAATAAAAGTGCACAGCATTTTCCTCTTGAGAGAAGTTATTTTTTCTTAGGGTTTCTGTGAAAGAGTTTTCCTGGAATAACTTTACGAAGACCTGTATGAAAAGTCTTCTTTAGGCAAATGATTTGGGTGCAAATTTCCTGTAGATATCTGAGAAGAATATGGAGGCTCCATGGGCGAACATTGAGGATTTGGATGCCACTGATAATTCCTAGATCAAATATCTTGGGATCATTTTCTGAATGTAAATATTTCGAAAGCGCATATATTTGCGGTTCCATAGGGTAGATTATGTGCAAAGTGAAGGATAAACGTGCACCAATAATTTATTTTACAGTCTACAATAGATTAGTTACCAATTTGCTAAGCAAACATTACCTTCTCGGGTCAAGTTCTTCGATCTCGTAAACAGAATGAGTACTCTCAGCACCCCGCGGCATCTCTATCTCAATTAGCTCATAAGTGCCATAATTCGATATGTCTGATTCTGATTGGGCCAGAGAGGGAGACGTCAGCCGTTGCGTTTCCATCATGACAGTATCGAGCCATCTTCTCCAATAACTAGCGGTGTTCATTGCCTCCGCCAACTGCTGAGAGATATCATGGGCCACGGCGATATTCACGATTAAATTATCTTCCAAACACTTTGGACAGCAAGTAATCCGTTTACCGTGGAAATTTTGTATGATCTTGTCCGTTAAGTCTTTAACGTGCATGCTGTACTGACGCCAGGATACGGTCATGTTTTCCACTTTTTTGACAAACGCTTTCCAGTCTTCTTGGTAGAACATTATAGGCTGCCCATTTGAGTCTAAGACTTCGCCTTTTAAAATACGAGCAGTCGTTCGAATCTCTGAAATTATGTCACTCAACCACTTGCTCCAGGTTTGCGCATTACTGGCAACCTCCAGCAGCCAGACTGCCCATACCTTAAGGGTCAAGCAGCATATCGTATCTGGCGCATGCTCGAATACCTTCGACGGTTTGTGTTTGGGAATTACTAGCGGAATATCAGTTTTTACCCCCATAATTTCCACCACTTGATCGGCTGGTACAATTTCCAATGTTGGTCCTTTTTCGCTTGCGGCAGACGATTTTTTATCGACCATGCCCACACCTTTCTCTGACAGTCCTCCGTCTTCATACGATTTACTCTCTCCGGCCCAAGCTTGAGGGTCACTAATCTCACTGAAGTCTGAAGTTAAATCGTTATCCGTATCCGACGTCTTTTCGCCGTAAAGCGGAGGAACATTCGCTCCACTGAGCTCGGATTCCTCGCCCGCCATTGAAAGCGATATCTTGTCTTGGTGTAGGGCCGACGATCCCGTCTTTGTGTCGTCCGAACCTGCGCTCGTCTTCTCCGCACTTCGTTCGGCTGCACTACCATCCGCGCCAAATTTACCACGTTCCTCGCCAAGGCACTCCGAAATCACATCCGCCTTGCTGCGGATTTTCTTAATCATCCTGTCGCCAACCTTTTCGGGTTCACTCGCCTTCGCCCATTCAATAATCGCATTCTCCACGACCTCCTGCTTTGCACGTTTCTGCTCCCTCTTCTCCTCATTGTGCAAGCTCTCAATTTTTTCGTAAACATCTCGATACGTCACCCCAGGTAAGTTAGCTTGATCGATCGGCTCATTAAAGTCCACCCCTGAGTTTTCCAATATGCTGAGCAATTCCGCAGATAAATTCTCGAAGTCTTCAGTTTTACCGATCTCCGTTTCATCCTCGCCCGCGGTTTTGTCACCTTCATCGTACGATTCGCCGCCCCCAAGACTGTATGCTTCAATTTCGCTTGTGTCCCCGGCCTCGCTTTGATCGAGCGTCGCTTTTGTTATTGAAGGAAGATCGGCAAAGTCGGGCAGTGGAGGTAGTGGCGGTAATTTAAATCGTTTCCAAGAATCTTCCCCTTCGCCCTCGCCTTCGCCTACGTAAAGCATACTTTCAAATGAATCCTTTGGGGCAATTTCCTCGAGGGAGTCGACATATTGAACATCGATGTAACGCGCAACTGAATCCATCCACACTGACAGTTGGTCGACCACATCTACGATGCTTCTTTGGCCCAGATTGGCAGAATTCCTCATTGGTTTACGTTTGAGATGGCGCTGATTGACTAGTTGATTCACGATTACGTCCGAAATTAGGGTTTGTTTATAACTTAGAGTCACCAGAGGATCATGCTCGAGGAATGACACCATAAGATCAGCGGTCAGTTCAATTTCATCCTTGAGCCACTTTTCGTTGCTCCCCCGCTTCTTCTTTTTCTTACGTTTTCGCTCTAGTGCTCTTTTTTGCTTTTTCTTTTTACGATCTAATTCCTTGAAACAGCAACGCGCGTACGTCGGGTCTAAAGTGTGGTCAGTTCGTAATAGTGCATCAAGTCTCTCAATTACCTCAGCGGGTAACTGGTGCCAATAATCGTTCCAGGTGTTGTAAACGCGAGTTTTAGTTGGTCTAGCTAATTCAATGAGTCTAGCCGAGCACTTTTGCGGTTTCAACTTTTTTCGCAATGCGACAATGGGGTTCGGCTCAGGCTGGGAGACGTAACGATGGGGTGTCGCCAGGTAATTAATGTACTGCTTCTTCGTGAAACCCGCACGGTCTCTTTTGAGCGATTTACTTACTGGGCCAAAGCGAAGGGATTTTGGGGGACCGCTCGAATAGGTTTGTCTCTTTAGCAGTTCCAGTTCGTTGATCTGCTTTGTTACCTGATACTTGTGCCACATTGCTTGCAAATTTATCGGAGACTTTTTTGGCCAAAGTGCAACGGTGCGAATTTTACTTTTTTCCTGACGATAATTTAAACCCCACTGGATTTCTTCTTCAAGGTCCCCATTATCTACGCATATATCCATTTTGTTAACTATAATTTCTTGCTGAACTAAAATGTCACTGTCCTGTCGAAATTTTAAGGTGTGTCAGTGACGTTTGGAAGTTTTACACAAAATTTTTCGTTTTCTTCAATAAAATGAGTGGGAATGATATAGACGAGGAAATTCAATGGGGTTTACATTACCGTCAAGACAAGAAAAGAAATGTTAAAGGTTTCGTCGTGCCTAAAAAATCTCCGTTGAATGTGAAAGATCTGTGGCAAAGATACCAAGTAACCAAAAACATTCAAGATTTGCAATCAATCAAGAAACGCGCCTCGATAAAAATTCCACCGAACAGTTTTCGTACTCCACCAAAGAATAAAGTGGGTCTTCTAAGCCGGGCGACCTTTACAAGACGACAGTACTTCAATTACCTTGCGACACCTTCGACGTTTCGCGTGGACGAGGAGCCTGACCCAATAACTGTATTGAAGAAGAAGCTGAGACCGAAGAAGTGTTCAGCCAGGTTGGTCGAACTGGCAAGACCGCGCAAGGTGCGTGTTTATGGAACGTGGACAGACTTCTGGCCTCAACTTTCCGGAGAGGCAATCGAGCGACTCGGAGGTTTACTGCAGACGGATCGGACTTTGGATCCGACATTCGCAAGGTGCTGTTTCTCCGACATGGATCGAAAACGAAAAAAGGAAAACCGAAAGCAAAAGCGCAAACAGAAGAAAACGCGAAAACGCAGAAAGCGAGAGGATGTAAAGTGGATCAAACTGCAAACAAGCACAACCGCTGACCTTTTGGTGTCTTTCTTGCGTGACAGCGTGCCGAAGGACATAAGCTACAAGCAGATGCTGCTCTCTGACACGATTCTCGAGCAGCTAAAGGAACGTCAGCATCTGAAATCTAAGCCCTTGAGGAATTCCAAAAATGTCTACCAGCGGAGCATCTACGAGATCGTGGATCAGATTGCACTGTGGATTGACAACGTTGCGCGTTACGTGGATGCCCAGTATACCGATTCGGTTGAAGAAATTACCAACAAAACCTCGTTTGAAACTTCATCGGCGCTGGACGAAGAACAGGAGGAAGAAGGAAGCACGGTGCAGAGGTTCGTATTGCCACCGATACCTTCCTTCCCAAACTCTCCAGTTAGTAATTTTGCGAGTCCATTTGAATCCGGAATTGAGGAGTGATGTGATCGTTTCTTTCCCAACTGTAACAGTATAGTAAATAAAATTTTATCACTTTATTTTATGCCTCATTTTCCAGCTCGTCTAATATAATCAGTTTTATGCATAGAAAAAACGAGGTTTTAGAGAGAATGCCCTCTCCAGTCATTCCGATTTAAAAGGGTTAGAAAGACCGCGATTAAAATTTTGAGCTCAAAAATTATCAATCTGCATTTTCTGGACTTGAGTGTGCAACATCTGAAACCCAATTGATCCAAGTTCAGAAAAGCGGATGTTACCGCAATCCCTATTGGTCCAGTTTTGTTTTATACTCCCTCCTCCACCCCCGCGACTAAGTTAATTGAGGCATGCTACATATCTGTTTTGATGAGTCAATTACTAGTTATTTTTTAATAATTACACATAATTAAAGGTTGGCAAATGAAATTAAAACAGTAATTATTAATAAACAATTCAAAAATTGTTAATACAAAGTTATTTAATGAAAGAATCAAATGCAAAGGTAAGTATGCGAGACAAATCAATAATCGACAAAACATTGTAAGTTTAAATGCTCCAAAAATGTATGTTGTTGATGCTATCCCAAATAACTACCTACATGGCAAATACATAGTACGTACGTACAGCGCTAGATTTACGGACATACATTTTACGTACACTTACGGTTCATATACGTACATGATACGTTAATTAAAATTCTTAGTAACTCAAAAAACCTTTTAAAAAACGCAAAATTATAGTATAGCCGATAAAATTGGATCGATACCTCAACCTTTATTCCATCCCACATCCGTTGCACCATTGCATAGTTGGAAATTGACAGAGAAACTGTCACTTTGGATCTTGAATGAACGTATTATTTGAATGTTCGTCTAAATTAATTCAAAAAGGCTACTTTTGATAGGATAGGGTACTGGATTTAGGTATGAAGAATGCCTTTAACCTTCCTGGTTCCGGGCGATTTTCAATACTCCTGGTACCGCGTGGGGTGATTTCTCACCCCAACTTTTTTTTTTTAATTTTCCGATTCTAAATATTCTTGAGAAGCAAACTGTGAACGGATTATTGTTACCTAATTGGTAATTTTTGACACAGTATAGCTCATTTGGGCAGTTTAATAAAACACGAAAATCTATTACTGAAGAATCAGCACAATGTTTTCCCACATCTTGGTTAGGCTAATGATACTAATTATCCCATTTCATAGGGAATAGCGAATTAAAATTTGTAATAGGTACCTATAATCGCCTTTTGGCTGACTTCATTCTATTTGTAATACAAACACATGAGAGTAATTATAATATTAGGAGAAGTCTGCAAATATGTGAAACCGTAATGGTTACTTTCTTCCAAAACAAAACACAAAATTGGCTCTCACAAATTCCTGACTTTTTCAACCAATATATGTTAAATGCCGTACTCAAAAATAAAGTAATGTAACATTTGGTTATAGAAACAAATCATACCAAAAGATATTTGAAAACTTAACCACACACACACAGTGTCAGGTAGGTACACATCGCACCACGTGGGGTGAGTTCACCCCGTTAGCCCATCACGGCAAATTTTGAAATGAATCTGAAATTCCGTAAACTGTTTTCGGCCATTTTTGAAATGAATAGGTACCTTACACTACAAAGAACAAAGTAATGAAACATAAGCAAGATCAAACGGCTATATATCAAAAAATACAAACAAAGAAGTTCAAGCTAGGGTGAGAATTCACCCCACTCCGGGCTAAGGAGGTATTAACTGAGATTTACATTAAATACACAATAAAGTAAAAAAGAGACTTTGTAACTAGACATAAAAGAACGGTTCTCAATTTTAAAGCGCCATGCGTGCAAAAGTCTAGAACGAGAATATGCTCCCACCGAAAAATAAGCTGAATCCTTACTAAGAGATCAGCTTGTGAAACTTTTTCAAAGAACACTTCAGAAAAATCACACTAGGACTCTTGACAATCCTGCAGAAATTACCTCACATTTTTTAAAAGAGCTCTAAAAAAGCTCAAGAGGTCTCTGAAGAATTTAAAAATGTATATGCTATCCGTGATTAAAATCCCAAGAATTTCTTAAGAAAACAAAAGAACCTACGCCCAGAGGGGCCCAAACTCTTTCTTTTTTACTTTGTTGGTTCCTAAAGGCCTAAAGAAATGTCAGAGAATGAATGACCATTTTAAAATTATAGGCACCGGATTTCCTATACATTATAATTTTGTGTCATTCCGGTTTACTTTATGAAGGGAAAATGACACTTTTTTAATCTGGTGCGTAGAATCCGGAATAGCCATACTCTAAACTTGACTCTTGAAGCTACTTTTCTCAGGAACCATAAATCGCACATAGTTCATAATTGCATATTACACGCCCTTAAGTAAATTTTACCACAGATGCAAATATACTATTTAAATCTGTGATTTTACGAGATTTAAGAAGATTTTGAAAAGATTCTCCCACAACTCCTGATGTTTCTAAGAAGTATGTAGAACAATTCTATAGGATCTTGGTGAATTTGAAGATTTTGGAGATTTAGGTATACCATTTGGTGGCAGGCACTTCTCTTCCCACGAGTGCCAAGAGACCATAATTTTTCCACGACATATGCTAGTCCATAACTTTTGATTGAGACGTCCGATCGAAAAAGTACGAATTGTTTTGGATTCTACGCACCAAAATTAATAAGAAAAAGTGTTTTCCCGAGAAATTTTGGTGCAGTCGATTTTTGGTAAAAAAGGAAGGTTATACACTGCCTTTTTTTGAGCCCCGAAAAAAAAATTGTCTCAGATCGACCCGGAAAAAAAAATTTCTTATAGAATGTGGCCTGTAGAATCCATAATTTCAAACAGTTCCAAGATTGGGCTACTAGATCAAAAGTTACAGCCCTTTTTTTGAATTTTCTTTCGAAATTGGTTTTTAGTCCATAACTTTTGATTGAGAAGTCTAATCGAAAAAGTACGAATTGTTTTGGATTCTACGCACCAAAATTAATACGAAAAAGTGTTTTCCCGAGAAATTTTGGTGCAGTCGATTTTTGGTAAAAAAGGAAGGTTATTCTGCCTTTTTTTGAGGCCCGACAAAAAAATTGTCTCAGATCGACCGGAAAAAAATTTGCTTATAGAATGTGGCCTGTATAATCCATAATTTCAAACAGTTCCAAGATTGGGCTTCTAGTTCAAAAGTTACACCCCTTTGAATTTTCTTTCGAAATTGGTTTCTAGTCAGGGGCGGGCCAGGTGGAATTGCATAGGTTACGGGCCATTAAAGTATTAGTGTAGTAATGAAGGTGGCGGGGGTAGCTCTGCGGTGCACCACAAAAACATTTTTTGCTTCATTTTAAGGTACTCCTTTTTCGGAAATCAATTACAATACAGTTTTTTTTTAAATTGCAGCTGATAATTAAAAGTAACAAAATATACAATCCAAACGAGGCGCGTCGCCTATCATTGTATTTCAGCACTTTCATGCTACGACAAAAAATGATAAATTCATTGTAAAACACTTCAATTAAAACAGAATTTTTTAATTTTTTAACAACCTAACATCAACCTCAATTAGAGAAACGTGTTAATAATTTATTAATAGTGCAAGAAACTAAATACAGCACATACTTATAAATTTCCAACGGGCCATTATGACATACAGGCCAGGTGGCAATCGCCCCCCCCCCCCGGGGCCAGTCCGCCCCTGGACAGATCTACCCATTACTTATTCATTGTGACGCAAAACTATCCACAATTACAAAATTAATGTTTCGGCCAAAGTCAAACAGCCGTGACCTATACGAAAATATCTGCATAAAACAGGTAATAATTATAAATAATAAAGTCGTAACAAAAAACTGAACTGCCTTAATTTTTTAAACAAGTTATCATTGTTATATTCATTACAGTTCTCATAAATTTTAATTGTAAATACCACAACATTGATTAGTATGAAAGAATGTGGAAGAATGGAAATCTACCTATAAGTGTATGGAGGATATTTTTAGGAGTGGTGCATCTATATTGCAGTGGTATTATAATGCTACTGATGGCTAAAAGGGGATCACACAGGTGTAGATCGAGTGTTTATTATTAAACGACCACGTGCTGTTTACGATGTATAGCGACAAAGTAAAGAAATTCAAATATTCACATTTAATTATAATAGATCAAGATCAAAATTTATATGCTACGGAGGACTGATTGTCATAAATGCTCTTTTTAAATGTAAAATCATGCTCTTATGCAAAGATGCCACACATATTAATGACCAAAGTTTCGATCTACTTTCGCTAATTATTAATGTGAAAAGCCAACGCGTTTCTGGGATTAAAGAAGGCCGAACAATGTGGGCGCTAATATCTGTGTGTATTCAACCCCTTGTACAATTTATAGATTGAAACGTAAATAAGGAAAATTAAGAGTTCAGGGAAATGCTCAAAAAGAAAAGCAATAAATTCCCTAACTATTAACATTTAAAACCTGTCACCATAATTTAAATGTTAATAGTTAGGGAATTTATTGCGTCTTCAAGTTACCTAAGTAAGTAAATTAATTACATCTTTGTAAAGTTAATTTGTTATTGTTCTTACAGTTTATCTACTCTGATGAAGGACTAATTTAGTCCGAAATATTAGTACGTAAAAATGAGTTAAACCATACAATGCAGTTTTGATCTTTAACCAGGAAAAAAAATCAACAAATTTAAAATCAGCTAGCAAGATCGAAAAAGTCTTCTTGGTGCGTTAATTACAGATTTTCACGTTTGTTGGTTGAATTATTATTATTATGGCGCCTCATTCAAAGTAAAAATAGGACATATTTTTTGCCCTTTCCAATTTTCCAGTCGAAAACTTTTAGAATTGCTACTATTGTACTGAGTCCAGAGATGTCAAATTTCAGTGAAATCAGAATTTTATTTTGCAAACCACCCTCCCTGCGCCATGTAAATTCCCAATCCGCCCTTGGCATGGTCCAACCTCCTCCTATGGTAAAATAGTTCGTTTTCGAGTCACCAACCACCCCTTTGTCTTTTGGACATTAAACTGCCGTATTTGGTATACTCCGTAAAATATGTCATTCTCGAGGCATGTCAACAAGTAACCATACGTTTATGGTCATGCAACCAATTTTGCGGAACGCGAAGACGCATCTATCAGGCACATCTCATACACGTGAACTACTCATTTCCATAATGCAAATTCTGCAATTATAAGTGATCGCCTAAGAGCCAAGCTCAAAATTTTAAAAGACTAGGACAAGTGTGTGAAAGTCATATGCATTCCACTATCTACCAAACGGCTCAGTATATTCATTGAGAATGTAATGATATTCTTTGTGGATGTAACCTTGTCCAAACGCACATAAATTTCTTTGCGGAGATGCACATAAAAGGTTCGCAATCTCACAACATTACCATTGCGATTAAGAATTTGAAACATGTCACTTGCTCTTATTGTAAGTATCGTCTGTCGCTGTAACCACCTTTAATTTTCCACAAATTAGATTTTGGCCAGTTTCTGGGCGTCTGGATTTCAGGCGTCGCCGATAATTCTCAACGTTCCCGTGTTTTACACTCCGTTTCCATTCCATTACCACAGCAGTGCCTTGAAGATGGCTTACGATGCGAATCTAGAAGCACTGAAGCGACTTGAAGAAGCCCAGTCGGCGAAAATAGAGACGTTGGATGAAAAAATAGAAGGTGAGTGCTCCCATTTCTTCGTACAGAATTCTTTAGCGAGTTTTAGCCACGGAAGAGCAAGCAGGCGACGGTAGTTACAAGCCTGATAACTCAGGTGACTACGCCCCCGACGATTCGGGAGCATATTCGCCGGATAACTCGGGGGTTTACAATCCAGAAGCGAGCGAGTTGGATGAATCGGCAGCTCCAGAAGAAGTCAAGGTGGACAAGACCGTCGTCCACGCATCCACTGGCAATGCGTTGCTACCAGACGCCCTGTACTCCTTCGGTTACAAATTAGAGGATCAATCGCGCGACGAGTCGGCCAATGCCATGGGTCATGTCATCGGAAGCTACTCGTTTACCAATTTCGCCGGTAATCACGATTTGCACTACGAAGCCGGGCCGGGCATCGGATTTTTACCAACGTCGGGCTCACTGTCAAAACCGAACGGTCTTGTAGTTCATTAAATGTTTAATAAACTACCTACTTCCTGCTTTATGCGTACTACCTTCACCCGCGCGATTTACAATGCAAACCAGAAATATTTAAAACAACAGAAAACGATGCTTAATTGTATAATAAAAACGATCAAGGTTAATATCCAGAACAAGCTTTTGAAAAAATCGCCCGCCTAAGCTTGAAAAAGGTTGCGTCTGAAAGACAACACCTAAAATACCTGCGACGTCCCCATATTAAGAAATTCTTTTGTTTGTAATGATCTTGATGTAGCAGTTCCAGTATGCATATGTAACCTTGCAGAGAAAACGTGTGCACTTAGGAGATCTTAAATACGGCGGCGGTGGCTATTATTGTTTGTGGTGCTCTTGTTATTGATCTGTGAAGATGTTCTCGTCTCTTACTGTAAGTACTACCTTTAGGCATGTTTAAGTGTTGCAAATTTGCTACAGGCGGTGGCATGTCTGTGCGTGGCGTACTCCGTTTCATCGCCACTACCTCAACACCCTGTGGTGATAGCGCATCACGGCCTTCCATACTTTTATCACACCGGAATTGTTCCAGTCGTGCACGACGCTAGCAAGCTTACCCTGAAAGCAACAGAAGATGCCCCCAAAGCCGACCTAAAAGCTGAAAAGCAAGAGGAGACAACCGAAAGTAAGTGTTTTTACCCACCCACCCCCTTTGATTGTCACGATTTTCACACAGGCACAACTCCGGAGGCACCGGCTGAACCGGCTGCACCAACTGAAGCTCAATCGGATGACGGGAGTTATAAGGAGGACAAAACCGGAGATTACGTTCCGGACAACGCGGGAGACTACGTCCATGATAATTCGGGAGATTACAAACCCGAAAGTGAGCTTGGAGAGTTAAAGCTCCATAGGGGAACAGTTGTGTTTGCCGGAAACCCTTTTATACCATCGCCCTTCTATCCGTTCCCTTATTACTTTTAGAAATTAGGATAAGTTATGCTTCCATATAGATCAATGAAGTAAAAATATGGGGTGTTATATTTTTTGATCTTATTTAGACAGACAGACGAACAGGCACACCACTTTGCATGTATACGTGAATATTAAAAATGAAGAATATAGGGAATATTAAGGACAGTGTTCTGCTGGCTTATAGTTCAAAGACGCGGTGTGGTCGAGAGAGCTTGTTCTTCCCCAATAGTTCATAATTACGGTAGAATTGAATTTATCCCGTACATATAGACCACTCTGTGTGTCTGATACAGCAGTAAAATAACAAATCGTTCAGCTTCCCCATGAAGATACCTTGCAAGATCCAGCTATAAACATTGTCTAAGTACTTCCACCCTTTATGAACAAGAAACATTTGTAACTTGCTGTTACAAAGAATGACCAATTGGAACTTCCCACCGCTGTAAAATTTTATTATGTACGACAAAAATCTAGAAGGATTTGGAAGAACCTAAAAACTCTGGCGAGAGACTATCATATTATAAAAGACAGTAAAAAGCTCTGGAAGGGCCTCAGAGAACAGCTTTAGATGGGACTCTTTATCTGCCTCCCAATCGGATTAGATATCTTACTCGCTTTTTGGTATAGTCTTTACAAAAAGCGATTTTTAGTAAAAAGTTCCACTTCAAGAACCACGTTTGAAAATGAGTTATAATTTGATCCCTTTCCACACAATTAGATGTATTTGAGCATCTTTTAAGTTAATTTTGTAGACACTCATTGATTAGGGGAGGCTTGAGACTCTGAGCTTGTCGCTTAATTGGACTCAAAAGCTGATTAGAAAGCTTTCATCACAATTTCCTTTCAAGAGCTTTCAAGTCTCGTGTTACTCTAAAAATGGCAAACGGTGCACTACAAAATCTTAAGTAATGGCTAAGGAGAGAACACCGTAGGTGCTTTCCAAAGTATCATATACCTAACCTTTACCTAGCTATCTTCTCCCATAGCATTTAAGTTCTTGCTCGTTTTTCCATACTATTCTAGGCTAATCTAGCAATGAAAAACTAGATCGCTCTGGAATGAACCTATACTCGTATAACATTTTGGAAAAATCATATCTTTTTTTTAAATTACTCGAGGCCCCTAAGAGAAGATCCGTGGACAAATCTGTGACCATTTTTGGATTCTACGCAACCATTTTAAGATGTAATTTTCGTGCCAGTTTGAGAAAATCTCCGAACTTTCACTTTTTCCGTGAAACACTTAAGTTCCTTTACTCCAGGCGAATTAACCACTTTTTTTGTTGGCTACTGGACTCCTGCAGATGTGCAAAACACGTTCAAGACCAGAAACCAGTGGGCCGGTATCTTATCTGGGCTCCGTAATTCTATCCCTTATAATTACTGCAGCTACTTTCTGTGAAATTATTTAAATGCATGCATCATGCACTTATCATTTATTTATCAAAAGTCTTCAAATTTTAGTGGCTCTTCAAAGATAATCTTATCAACTAATCAGTGGAAGTCGTACACCTTAAAATACCGGGAAGGCGATCTGATGCATCCATTTGGTTGTATCCGAACTGCACTAACATAGCATTTCAGACAATGGGTGAGTCAAAAAAGTATCCGCAATATGTAGCTGCGTTCACTGGTAAGTGTCCCACAGATCCATAAACATACATTCAATATTTGTGATTGTTTACCATCATAATTAGTCCATAGTTAGAATGAATGTACGTAAACGAGTGCGAAACTAAATGGTAAATATTGAATTTCAGCATGCATGGGAGCTCTAGCAATGGGTACCGTGATGGGTTGGACTGCAAATATTTCCGAAGATATGAAGCAGTACACCTTTAATGGAATTGATATTGATGACGATAGTGTTGGATGGATTGGGTCGTTTGCAACTCTAGGAAATGCAGCATCTTGTATACCAATAGCGCTCTTCTGCAATATTGTTGGAAGAAAACGGGCAATGATTTGCCTTACTCTACCTTTTATGGTTGGATGGTTCCTTATTATATTCGCGAAGTGGCTGTGGATGATGTACTTGGGACGGTTTTTGACGGGATTTGCAGGAGGGGCCTTTTGCGTTGCTGCACCGATCTACATAAGCGAAAGTACCGAGAAAACTATACGAGGAGCTTTGGCTAGTTACTTTGAACTGATGCTTACTATAGGAATTTTGATAGCGTACATTTTTTCAATGTTCCTTGAGATGAAAGTTTACACAATTACTATGGCTATGTTTCCCATGCTGTTTGCAATTGCGTTCGCCTTCCAGCCAGAAAGTCCCATTTTCTACCTCCGACAAAACGACCTGGAAAATGCTAAGAATTCCCTGATTCGTTTGCGAGGAAAGTATTATGACGTGGAAAAGGAATTGGAAGGTCTGAAACTTGACCTGGGAGAACAACTGCAGAAGAAGGTGCCATTTTGTGTATCAATTAAAAAGAAAGCAGCGAAGAAAGCTATCTTCATCAGTTTGGCAATGATGATACTTCAACAAGTCAGCGGTATAAACGCGGTAGTTTTCTACACGGCGGCCATATTCGACTCAACGGGTGTTCACATCGACTCAAAAGTGTCGACATTAATTCTGGGAGTTCTCCAACCGATCGCCACTTTTCTATCCACATTCGTCGTTGACCTATTAGGCCGTAGGATATTGCTTATCACTTCAAATCTCGGAGTCGGAATCTCAGTAGCAGTTTTAGCCGTATTTTTTACGTTGCAAAACGCAAACGTCATTGACGGAGAGACATTGCACATAGTGGGATTTGTGCCTCTCGTTTCGCTTTGCGTGTATTGTGTCACATACTCATTCGGGATGGGCCCGTTATCATGGGTGCTTGCAGCCGAGTTATTTCCCCCGGAAATTAATAGTATCGGAAGTGCTTTGGCGGGAAGTACCAGTTCGATTTGTGCCTTTCTAGTGACGAAGTTCTATTTCAATTTGCAGTCCTCGATTGGAGGTGACGGTACGTTCTATATATTTGCCGCTATGGCGTTCCTGGCAGTATTTTTTGTGTACTTTTTTGTACCGGAAACAAAAGGGAAAACCCTTGCTGAGATACAAGATGTTCTTAACGAAAAGACTGATGGTAAATGGTGCAAGTACCAGAATAGTGGTGTTAGTTAGAAATTATTATATTGTCAATAAAGTACTTCGTGATAAATGTGATATACCTTATGTAGTTATTAGAATCTAAGTTGTCAGTTGTCAATGTTATTGTTCTTATAGTATTTGTATGTAAAAATTTAAATTTAAATCAAATTAAAAAATGTATTTTATATTAAAATCATATACTAGATAATAATGAAATAAAAAATATAAATCAACGGGATCCATCAATTGAAGAGGTAGTTTCCAGAAAATCTCCACATTACACATTACATCCTTGCTGTTAAACGGAAAAAGTGTTACCGTTTCTTCCATGAAAAATCAAACAAGACAACTTTTGCAACAAACTCAAAAGCAAGCCCTTATAAAAATGAACCACACTTAGATCGCCTTTACGTTTTTTCGTTAGTCTTTTAAATTTCATGAAAGTCAAAACAAAAGTTATTTAAGGTCAAAAAGGGTTCCAAATACGTTTGACCCTCATTTTTCAGACATTGCAGCGATTCTTTATGGACAGGAAACGGGATTGACCGGCTCCCAGTGAAACAATCCGGGGCGAATGCAAACCCGTACAGGGCGGGCACCAGACAGGCACAAATCCTACCAAAATGAAACTAAAAATAAAACAAAAATGAATGACCATACGACTATGCAAAGCTCCGGCACTAGGGGGTTCTGACTTCTTATCTGAATAGCAACAATATATTATGATCTTTTAATTTCAATAACAAACTATTAAAGTAACCAATTCCGTATCTGAGTAGGTAATATCAACACTATAACACTAAAGTACAAAGCAATATTTAAGGGAACCAATACAGTAACGGAATTAGCTTTGGAACATAATCAATAAATGCAATAGTAAATCTTTAACGAGTAATAAATATGGACAATAGGTCCACCAGCGGAATACCCGCTACAATAAATACCTGCCCCACTTTACAATAAGGGCATGAAGATGAGCAAAGAATGTACGCTTAAAGTAATATTGGATGACCAACGGTCATTAACGACCAAGGCACATTTTACCTAAATAATGTTGCCACATTTAGGTTTCTCAAAAGGGAGACTCGAACCTAGGCAACTCGAAGGAGTTAATATTGCGGTCCCGGGCGATGGGAAGGATGACCCATCAACTGCCCAATTTGAGGTATCTGAATAGATCAGCTACTAGATTGTCGAATACTCAAGTGTTTAACGATAACTGTTTCGGTGCAGATTAGATACTCGGGAAAGGAAGTAAAATAGGAAAATCAAAGATCTACCTATTCTGATAAGTGATAAGATATTGTAACGTTATGACGTTAATCGTAAGATGTCGTTTGGGTTTAAAATTATACCTATACTTGAAATTTAGTTTTGCTATCAACAATTCGAAAACGCATTCGTCTTCGTACGCTTGGTGCGGATAAAGATTTGCAATTTATTTAATTGCGCTTAAGAAAATTTTATTCAAATCGAATTGTATTGAAAATTCCTATTGAGGATAATTTTTTTTAAAAAAAGGTCATAGAACCGTAAGTTTTTCAATTTTTTTATTTCAAATTTGTAATATTTCACAACATTTTAGTTTTTTTCGTACCGGATTTGGGCCCCTGAAACAGAAAAAGGGATAATTAGTTTCTGGAAAAAAAGAACCAGCTTCCGTATTTCAAAAATTCAAAAGTAGTTTGCATCAAATAGAAAAAACAACTTACCAGCTTCAGCAATTTTCTTCAGGAGTATTCGTCGATAGCAAAATCATTATCTATCTGTCAAAATTTAATTGAATCTACAGACGACAGCAAGAAAAAGAAATCAAACACAAGGTCAGCTACAATTTCACCATTCATTCATCATTTATTTCATTTAAAATCTTCCATACATATTGTTCATATTGATACATAATTTAGTTGAGAAGTACCTACCTGTTTTTTTGTCAATACTCAAAATCAAATGTAAAATACTTATAATTATTTCAACGACGGCATTCATATTTTGTTCCGGTAGCGCTATCCCTTCTTTATTTAATTTTTTATTCGCCGTTTAATTTTTTAATTGTTGTGTTCCTTTCATTAAGAAAAAAAAACCTAATTTGTAAAGGGTACTTGATACTTTGTTTGTATTAAATATAAAAAAAATTTCATTTTGTTTTTATTGATCGCTATTGGCGTGATAATATACCCAGTAACTGGTTTCCATATAAATACAATAGAGAATAGATGATATAATATCAAAATCTCAATCACGCTATCGTCGACATTACTCCAACCTAAAGAACGTCCATTTGACGTTGTTTACAATACACAGTTACACACTGTGTTCAAGATAAGGGTGTCTACCATGGGGATCTCGGAAACCATACAAGATACGATTATGGTCAAATTGGGGAAAAGTTGCGAAGTTAAACAGTTGATCATGCTGTAAATAAAACCGGAAAATTCCGATTACTTCCACAAAAGCAGAAATTTGCCGATTTTGTTTTTTTTCATGATCTTATTTCAGCAGTTATAGAAAAATAAAAAACATTTTCTCATGGCCACTTCTTGAGCTTTACAAGATAGCGCTGTGGGATTTTTAATAGACTGTTTCGTTCCGGAGAAATCATCATCAATTTTATATTTTTATATGGACTGTAAGAAAAGTACAGACTGTATGGAGTGACACTTTTTATTACGAATTCAACAGTAGGTATATGTGGTATACAAAAAAAAACAAAACTTGGAAACTGTTGGTTTCAACAGGATGGTGTACCCGCGCACCATGCTCTAATTGTACGGGTGCACCATCCTGTTGAAACCAACAGTTTTCAACTTTTGTTTTTTTTACCATATATAGTTGAATTCGTAATAAAAAATGCCACCCAATCTAGTGTGTACTTTTTCACGGACCATAAAAAAATCGTTAAGCCGCTTGTGGGCAAGAGGCGAAGAGTGCACTTTTAAATTTGTTTTTTCGATTTTAATAGCCCTTATGGGCATTTTTCATGCCTTAACGAGAATACAAACGTGAAATAATTTTTAATTTCTGATCGAATGACACCAATACCAAGTCTGTAAGTGGTGTAGTTCCGGAACCTTTGTGACACAGACAGACAAACAGACAGACACACATACATAAGGAGCGCAAAAGTGCACTTTTTATTTTTTGTAAGTGAAAGTGCACTAAAAATAAACAAATGTATCTTGTAGAGCTCAAAAGGTGGCAATTAACATTACAAAAAACTAAAAACCAAATCATTAAATATCGGTTTTTCTGGCATATTTTCGGAAATAATCGGAATTTTCTGGTGTTCTCTAAAGCAGAGATTTCCAAAGTGGTCGATATCTACCCCTGGGGGTCGGAATCGGTTTCTCAGGTGTCCACATAAACGAAAACTGATTTTGGGGGTCGACGAGGTCTAAAAATCGATCCCTATTAATTAACACTTAAGTTCTTATTAACCGTAATTTGTGTTAATAAGTATAATTACACTTAATATTTGCTGAATTTAGGGAGAAAGAGGATAGAGATGGGATTTTTAAAGTAATATAGGGGTCTGAGGTATCAGTTCATTTTGGAAAATGGGTCTTTGACCCAAAATAGTTTGGAGATCCCTGCTCAACGCATAATAATTGTTTCATTGCGCAACTTTGCCATAATTTACCCATCCCCATAATACACGTCCTTATCTTGGACACAGAACTATCTGGTCGCCTAGTACTTTTTTACGAGCAGGCAAATTTAGAACAAAAAACAAATTTTGAAGTCACATTTCAGAGTAAGAAGCAAAAGAAGAGTGTCAGTAAATACGTCACCGTGAACAATTTTTTGTTAGGGGCTAGTCATTGGTTAGTTAATTAAATTTTCTTTAAATAATTTTCGAGTTTACTTATAAAAGAGGACATTTTGTTTCAAAAAGAGAGGTTCAACCGTTTTTTTTCTTTTTCTTTGCCACTGGACTCGCACCCAGATTTGCAAGACACGTCAAAAACTGCTCGATTAACCGTAACAAAACATCGGCTAAAATTGTTCCCAGATTATTTGTTGACCGCAAGAGGCCAGTGGACCGGTAGCGTATTGGCATTCTGTACTATTATTCAGAGCAGCTCTGGTCTGATTCGCAGTATACTATGGCTTCACGTTATGCGCAATTTGATAATACATTATATACTGCGATTCAGAGCACCGATATGGTTTAGTGTTTGTTTTATTACTAAAATCAGCTAACCACTTGTCACACCAAACACTGTTAATATCTTCACCCGTTTTTTTCGCTTTAAACCCCTGTTCTACTAGTTCCAAATATTCGATTATTGAAAACGTATTCTCGTTCCACATTTGAACCAATACCTCTTTATAGATCATTCAAGTCTCGATTTTAGTGCAGTTTGAGAACCTTGATTACACACAAACAAACAACAAAAAATATACTTTTCTTGCAAAAGTAACAATAAAAACATACATCTTGTAAGTGTATGACAATCAAAAACCAATATTTTCTCCCGCGCGATGTGACATTCTTTCTGAATCACAGTATAAATTTGCTATATCGCAGTATAATTTGACTCAGGCCCACGCGCTTTATAAAGTGTAAACCATATCGGTGCTCTGAATCGCAGTATATAATGTATTATCAAATTGCTCTTAACGTGAAGCCATAGTATACTGCGAATCAGACCAGAGCTGCTCTGAATAATAGTACAGAATGCCAATACGCGACCGGTACCTATCTCCTCTGCGCTCCGTAACTCACCCCTTCGTCTATTACTGCAGCTTCTGCTTGTGAAATTATTTATTCGTATGCATTATGTACCTATTACGTATAAACAAAAATCTTCAAATTTTAGTGGTCCTTTAGAGATAAGATAGAAAATTCATCAAATAATTAGTGAAAGTCGTATCAAAAGTACTGTGAGTGTTTTCTGGTCGTCGATGCACCTACTAATTTGTATCTAAACTGCTCTTATGTACCATTACTAAAAATGTTCAAGCAATATGTTGCTGCGTTCACTGGTAAGTGCTGCAGTTCTCCCCTAGGTCGCATAAACATACATTTAAATTTATCATCGCTTATCATAGTCAACTAAAATGAGACATTTTTATGAATGTTTATGGTCAAGTACAATTTATACGCGAGTGGTTAATATAAGATTTCAGCATGTCTGGGATCTCTTGCAATGGGTACCGTTTTGGGTTGGACTGCAAATATTTCGGAAGATATGAAGCACTTCACCTACAACGGAATTAATATTGACGATGACAGTGTTGGGTGGATTGGGTCGTTTGCAACTCTAGGAGCAGCAGCATCTTGTTTACCGATAGCATTCTTCTGCAATATTGTTGGAAGAAAACGGGCGATGATTTGCCTTACTGCACCATTTATGGTGGGGTGGTTACTTGTTGTGTTTGCAAAGTGGCTTTGGATGATGTACTTGGGACGTTTTTTGACGGGATTTGCAGGAGGAGCCTTTTGTGTTGCTGCACCGATTTACATAAGCGAAAGTACCGAGAAAACTATACGAGGAGCCTTGGCAAGTTACTTTGAATTGATGCTTACTGTAGGAATTTTGGTAGCGTACATTTTTTCAATGTTCCTTGAGATGAAAGTTTACACAATTACTATGGCTATGTTTCCCATACTGTTTGTAATTGCGTTCGCCTTCCAGCCAGAAAGTCCCATTTTCTACCTCAGGCAAAACGACGTGGAAAATGCTAAGAAATCCCTGATTCGTTTGCGAGGAAACCATTATGATGTGGATAAGGAATTGGAAATTCTGAAACTTGACATGGTAGAAGAAAAACAGAAGAAAGTTCCATTTTGTGAGTCAATTAAAAAGAAGGCAGCGAAGAAAGCCACCTTCATCACTTTGATAATAATGATATTTCAACAAACCAGCGGGATAAACGCGGTAGTTTTCTACACGACGGCCATATTCGAATCAACAGGTGTTCACATAGACTCAAAAGTGTCAACATTAATTTTCGGCGTTCTCCAACCGATCGCCACTTTTCTATCCACATTCGTCGTGGACCGATTAGGCCGTAGGATACTGCTTATCGCTTCAAATCTCGGAGTCGGAATCTCAGTAGCAGTTTTAGCCGTATTTTTTACGTTACAAAACGCAGACGTCTTTGACGCAGAGACATTGCACAAGGTGGGATTTGTGCCTCTTGTTTCTCTTTGCCTGTACTGCGTTACGTACTCATTTGGGATGGGTCCGGTATCATGGGTGCTTGCAGCCGAGTTATTTCCCCCGGAAATTAATAGTATCGGAAGTGCTCTGGCGGGAAGTACAAGTTGGGTTTGTGCGTTTATAGTGACGAAGTTCTATTTCAATTTGCAGTCCTCGATTGGAGGTGACGGTACGTTCTATATATTTGCAACTATGGCTTTCCTAGCAGCTTTTTTTGTGTACTTTTTTGTACCGGAAACAAAAGGGAAAACTCTTGTTGAGATACAAGAGGCGCTTTAACTAAGAGACTGAAGTCAACTCGTTAAAGTACCAGAATGATGGTGATACTTAGAAATTGTTGTCCTATTTTTATATTATCAAAAAAAATATACTTCGCGATACACACAATTATTTCATGTTAGCTTGTACAAGTTGTTAGATAATTAGCCGACAGTGTATACAAAGCCGTCTTAAGGGCGAGTTACAAATCCAATAAAAACGGTTAACCTCGGAAAAACCCACCCATCCCTATAAAATGGGTAAAAATAAATCCAAACTTAGAGCTACCATTACAAGATCCAACTCACTCCTGGAAATCAATGTCTATAGAAACCTATGACCTTATCATATTATCTCTTTCTGCCTAATCTGTAACAGATAACAACACACAAACAAATAAAACGGATAGTGAATAGAGCGGCACATAAAATATTGCGTAAGCAATGCTAACGTCTGCGACTGATCAGGTACTCGTACACTAAAACCGTAAATTAATGCTCAATAAGAATCAATAATTCGAATGACTTTACATTGGAAAAGCACAATTTTGATCGACCACGGATTTTCCTTACATCTGTATAAACGCATAAGAGTGACGTTAACTTTAACTACTTTACGATGCACCTAAAGGCAGTTAGTTTATGGGAGAGGGAGTGGAAAGAGTTTAAAGAGATTATATGGTTGGTGGTAGTGTTTCAGATCTTATCACTTGTGTGATAAGATCAACAGTGTTTCAGAATGTTCCTTTAAAATGTTAAAGATGTGTAACTTTTAGAATGTCTCGTTTTTAATATGTAATTTCCATAATGTATATACTGTAGAACTTTAAACAATAAAAACTGTAATTGATGTTACAGCTAGAAGATAACCTTCGATCGAAAGTGGTCACTTTTCTGTCTTTTAAATTAAATTAGTATGGAGAAGATTTTGTGTTTCAATTACTGATTCAATTTTTGACTAGTAAATAAAACAAATCAGCGAAATTTAATTAACCAAAATGTAGTCAATTAGGTAGGTACCCTATTATCTTGAATTTTAAAGTGCGTATCAACAAGTACAATAAGCAATTAGGTTAGTAAAGATCCATTTACTATAATTAGTTTTAAATGCGCTAATGTGCCTTGAATGAAAATGAGTGAATCGAGATTTCCATATAGTATGTAGCTACATTCACAGGTAAGTGCTTAGTTGTATTTATAAACATACAATACCCATATGAATTTTACTAATCCCACTAGAACGATAAAACAAGCATTTTCGTCCGCCATTGTTAAACCGATATCAAAAATATTAAAACCGAGAAGTGATTCTGACCTGTGTTATCTAAAGTTGAGGAAAGATGTATAGAGTTGCAAATAAAAGTTTCGTTCCGTAGTTCGAAAAGCCGAGCACGTGATAACAAGGCGGGATTTGTATTGGTTAAGAGGGTTCGTGTTCCAAAAAAGTTGCGTGCAGGAGTTAAGTAAAAAAAACTCATTTAATAATCAAAGTTGTGCATGCGATTTGTTATAAAAAGTGGACCAATTTACTTATTGACCACCTTCCTGTTGAAACCAACCGTCTCCGACTATTGTTTTTTTTGTGCCATAAAAAATAAAGTTGATGATGATTTTTCCGAAATGAAACGTTGCATTGCAAATGTCTCAACGGTGAAAACCTCAAAAAGTGGCAATGAGAAAGTGTTTTTTATTTCTTGTATCTGTTCAAATAACGTCAGAAATGGCATATCTTTGGAGGTATTCGAAATTTTCTGGTTTTAATTAAAGCATGATAATAACTCTTCAACTGAGCATCGTTGCTCCATTTTACCATCGTCATATTATCTTCTACGGTTTCGTAGATCCCCATGATAGACATCTTTATCTTGGACACAGTGTATAAATAATCAGTAAAATTCTTTGTCCACCATCAACCCTCCGTTACAACACAACCACAGCCACCATACATCCCCCCCCCCCCACTCCTACGATAGTTCCAGCGTTGTTTAGTCGCCTTTTACGACACGCAGTGCCCTCTGCGGTAGGGGTATTCTTTCCCGCACCTACACGGGTAAAATTTTGTGATTGAAACTCCAAAACAACCGAAATAATGAAATAATTACGGCCAACTCTCACCCCGATTTATCTACCTGGTCCATCATCAAAATTTTATAAATGCGCTTAAAGAAACTTCGAAGGTAAAAATAGGTCACGTTAACTTCGAACACTATTCTTAACTTAACTTATTTATACAGAAAATGTATTTAATGTATACATATGGGCTATGTATACTTTAAAAAACAAGTAAAAAAGTTTTCGCCCCAAGGCTAGTGTGTTCAGCGCATTTTCCATGCGTTGATCCTTACTTTTTTGTGATGTTTCTATAGTAAACATTTTTCAAATTTATTGCACTATCAATAATATCGTGTTAAATATAGCAGAAATGTGTCACTTTTCATACGTAAAAGTTTGCATTATGGAAATAAATACTCGAAAAACTCTTAATATACAAAAAAAATTAAAGATGTGTACAGAACTCGACAATATTACAGACTACACCATCTCCCCAGTAAGATTGTAATTAGAGCCACAAGGAGGATTTCCTTTTCCTTGTTTACTCCAGATCGAAGTGTGGACCTTATTATTGTGTTCCATTTTCCTTAGCTATCAGTATCTAATTCCCGTAAACAAATAATACAAACCACAACTATTAATGTTTGAAAAAAGCCCATTGTATTTCGAGAACTAAAACTACGTGTCTCCCAATTGATGAAGTAAATTGTCAGTTTCCCGGAGTGACTAAAAGTAACTAAGGAATGAAAAGCATATACTACTGTGAAAGACCATGTATTTGCTCCAGGAAAATGGGTGTAGATTTTGTGAGGAACTTTCAGTTGGATTTGTGTGAAACGAAATTTTATTTCAGTGCAGAGAATGACAGCAAGTTCAAATACTTAGGTACAAGTTAATGGTTATCTTTAACAAACCTTTTCAGATCACGCTTTATTTTTATTCTGCTATATTTCACCATATACACAACTATTCTACTTTAATTTATACCCATTTAATAAATACAACCACGCAATTGTTGCTTCTATACGTATAATAGATCAATTAAGCGTAACCCAATAGAGAAACAAAAGTTACAACCCCTCCAATTGAATATTGCTATGTAGAATAGAGCGATTTTTTTCAAAATCGCGAAATTTCAAAGCGGAAAGGGTTTATTTTATGTGGAAATTGGATGGGCACCCGTAGATCAATGGATGTTACTACCCCGGCTTCTAGTAAATCGCTGTTAACTTTGCTTTGGAGATACAATATGAGCAGACAGAAATAACCCCCGCATTCTAAGTATTCTATAAGTTATAGTTTGAATTACTTAAAATATTTGGCAAGCGTAAAGCATACGGAAATTTATTATTGAAGGGCAGTTTAAGGGTTGTTTATACTTTATTTAAACATAATCTATCAACGAAATAAAAATGTTCACTGTATTACGAAATTTACAACCCCCGCATTCTAAGTATTCTATAAGTTATAGTGTGAATTACTTAAAATATTTGGCAAGCTTAAAGCATACGGAAATTTAAATTGTTAGGTATGGTGCATCCTCTGTAAAAGGAGAAGAACCTACTAATTGTAATGAAAAATACTGTGTATCACCTGGAAATAGTACTGCACTCATCGTAAGAAAGTAATAGATTGAAAGGACGTGAACGTAACGATAGAAGTAAAGTTATAGTAAGAATTCCGCGCCACCTAGGAAAAATTAAGGAATTGGAGTTACTAACAAAAACAATTCAACAAATAGAGGAGAGAATCACAGAGGAGTTAAAAAAGAACGCCGAAGAACTAAATAAGAACAAGGATGAGTTTACAAAACTAAGAGAGGACATGGAGAAGGCAAGAGAGCAGTGGAGAAAGGAAAAACTTGTATTAGAAAAACGAATCGAGGCCTTGGAAAATCGAGTTGAAGACTCGGAAAGCAAACGTAAGAAGAAGCGATTAAGGGATTGCGTGAAAACAAGGGAGAAATGGAAAAGAAAATTATTGAGGCAAGATTTGGGATTGAACGTAGTCTGAAATCAGCTATTCAGAATGGGAGTATCAGACGAAATCAAAATAATAGTGATAAAACTAAATACCTTCGACGACAAACTAAGCTAAGTTAGGAAGAAGATAGGTTTATATCAAAAATGACCTTATGGGTATGAAGTTACCGGTTTCGTCAACCAGAAAAGAAGACAGCGGTGTCGCGTCAAGTGTTGATTGTATCTTACTCGGCCCCAATCGGTAGATCAAAGAAAAGTCGCGGATACTGTCGAGTGCGCAATTGTTTTGTTAATTCCAATCTAATTCTCGCACATCTCATTTAATAGGATTACGAGCATGTTATGAGGGTTATTATTTAGAAGCGGGTTCAGGGCGGATTCCGGGTGAATAAGTGTTTTACATATGGGATTATACGGTTATCATTTCCAATGGTTGCAAGGATTGCGAAATCTGCGAATTTTTAATCCGGAAGCTAAAAATAAGGTTATCGCATGAGATTAATTTCCTCTTTTCATTCAATAAAACTAATCGCAATCTAAGGTAGGGAAATTTATATGCACAAGAATGCAAGAATTAGTCACTCCTCCAACCTTTCAATCCGTATTAATACTGTTTTTTCCGTTCGCGTCCTGCCTTTTTTAAGAATCTTTGTTGTAAGTTAGAATTAGTGAGAGTGAGAGGCCATAAAAAACGAATTGGACATTTTTTTGAAGTTTCTTGCGAGAGTAGTCCCAATATTTCTACGGACGAAAAAGATTTTCGTATAGGGACATCGAAACTGGGACACCCTGTACTTAACGATTAGAATAATTAATAAGTAAGTATAGGTAATTATAATCAAGGATTGTACCTGGCATTCCAACCGTTGAAATATATTCTGTTAGGCATAGTAGGCAATTTTAAAGCGTAAGTTTGTTTTTAATTGATCATCAGTTAGTAGTGTAAGGAAGAAACGTCCGTAGGATTTTATTTAAATAATATTAATTTGAAGGTTTGAAATTAAGATTTGATTTAATTCAATTTTTCGTTATTATTTGAATCTAAGCAATGGACTGGACACTGTAATACGTCGAGATTGTTCCTTTAGGAAAAAAGGTAATATTTTACACATCTTTTTTCATTTGTAAAGAAACGAATTTGGAGTGGAGAAAGAGCTGGTAAATTACAAAAAGTTCCGAATTTTGGATATTTGTCACACTATCATTTTTAGTACATTCAATCAATTTTTTTAAAGAATCAACCCGCTCCATGCGTTCTTTTCAAATGACATGACATTTTCCTATCCAGCTTATCCTCTCTTCTTTCCTTTCGGTCATAATGAACTGCGCACCATTTTCAATAGGTATGCCATTAATAAATAAACTAACCGACTTTTCGTTAAAATAATTTGTCTCGCCGTTTTCTCTCTCTTCCGTTTGATAACCTTTTGTTCAGTGTTTTCCTTGTGTGGAGATTTTTCTGCGCGAATACCTACCGCAAAATCGTAAAACGCAACACCAGCTAATTACTTCTACCATTGTTTTAGTCAGCGGTTTAACAAGTTGACTGTAATCAATTGTGCTACAATAGTATAAACTGTAATTCTACTTATCAGTGGCAGTAGCCCCATTTCCTCTCAAAATTACCCTTCAAGCCAAGAATAGTTTCTCTTTGCTTCAAGCTAAATCATTTCGCGAGTGAGGCTGCGAGATTCCCTTCGCCTTGTCTATACTCCAGATAGAAATGCGGAACTCATTTGTGTGTCCCACTTTCCTTTCAGTATCGGTATCTAATCCCTGGAAACAAATAATAGAAACCACAGCTAATAATGTGCAAAAACAGTTGAGTATTGTTTCATTGAATTCGGCAATTTAAGGTTCTGGCGATTACTTCGACTGTTCAAGCGTCTAAAATGATTCCAACACAGGAAGAGGAAGATTTACGTATTATAACGAGTAAACGAAACGAAATATGGAGGCGAAGAGTTCCTCAGTACATCGCAGCACTTTCAGGTAACATTTTTTGAATTTTTTTATGTTTTCATTTTCTTTTTAGCGTGTTTGGGTTCCGTCTGTACGGGCGCAGTTGAAGGATGGACCGGGAATATTTCGGAAGATATGAAAAAACTGTCATTCAACGGTATCACGATAACTGAAGATCATTTGGGATTAATTGGATCGCTTTCTTCTTTGGGAAGCGTCTTCGCCTGCATACCGAGTGCCTATCTCTCCGACTGGGTAGGACGAAAAACCGCAATTCTACTTCTTATCGTACCTCTACTGTTGGGATGGCTGCTAATAATTTTGGCGCAGGAATTCTGGATGCTCGGGCTAGGTCGATTATTGTGTGGGATTACAGATGGTGCCTTTTACGCACTATTACCAATGTACGTCACGGAAATCTCCGAAAAAGACATAAGAGGTGGTCTAACCGCTTACTTTGACTTATTTTTAACAGTCGGAATTCTGGTATCCTTTACCGTTGCAAACTTTTTAGACATTTATCAGTATACGATTGTCGTCGGTTGCCTACCTATACTTTTTGGATTGATATTTTGTTTCCAACCGGAGAGCCCAATATTTCTAGCTATGAAAGGGAAAGAAAAGGAGGCGTCCCAATCCTTGCACCGTCTGCGAAAGCGATCTTACAACGTGACGGATGAAGTAGAAGGAATTAAATTGATTGTAAATCAAAACCACAACCATTCCTTGCTGACAACCATGCGGAAAAAGTACACCAGAAGAGTTATGTTGATTTGCTTTCCACTAACGATCTTGCAACCGATGAGTGGTATAACAGTGATAACTTACTATACGGCATCAATTTTTGCATCGACCAAAGTGGATTTAGACGAGAAATTGTGCACCGTGATCTTCGGCATGGTTACAGTGTTCTCCGCCTTTCTAACCACGCTGGTTATAGATAAGTTAGGAAGACGCACCATGCTTATAACGTCACTTTTAGGATCCTCATTAGCAATCGGTATTTTAGCGTTGTTCTTCACGTTGCAATACCGACAACTCGTTGATGAAAGCGTAATTGCCGCTTTGCATTTTTTGCCGATCGTTAGCGTTTCATTGTTCACACTAACATTTTCGTTAGGATACGGTACCGTACCTTGGTTGCTAATTAGCGAACTTTTCCCGCCCGAAATTAAAAGCCTTGCCGCCGGTTGTGGAGCAACTTTTAATTTAACATCGGTTTTCCTGGTTTCACGATATTACTTTGATCTGAAATCTGCTATGGGTATTGATATTACCTTTTACCTTTCTTCAATTATAAATCTTATAACTGGCGTTTTTGTTTATTATTACGTGCCCGAAACCAGCGGCAAATCTTTTGCAGAGTTGCAAGCATTATTTAGAGCCGAATGAATTTATATCGTATTTTAGGCAAATGAACTAGCACAATTAAAGTTTAAAATTACCCAGTGGCAGCCTCTTGATGGAAGCACACGAGGCAGGAGCGCTACCAGTATTACAAAAAAAAAACCAATTGTATTAAGATACCTGTGTTGGCATGAAATCTAAAGAAAATTGTTGTGGCCAGCACAATGTTGACTAAATGTATTTCAGTTCTTAGTAAAGTGTTTTTATAAGGTGCAACAACGTTAAAAATGTGCAGTTTTTTATTACTTTGACACACTTGCGCATGCACGATTCTGCCCAAAAGCTTTTTAGTTCCTTTTATGTCCTAAAAATATGTGTACCAAATTTGGTTCCAATCGGTTCAGCCCGGAAATGAGAGTACAGACAGAGAGACCGAGAAACATCACCGAGAGTTTGTTTAATTCGGATTCCTGGTGCTTCAAAACGTGCATTTACGTCAAAAAAGTGGGGGGGGGGGTCATTTTGTACCCCAATGCAGTCACTCACCCCAATTTGGCGGAGTAGTAAAAACAACAGCGCGTTGATTGGTGCGAAGAAAAAACTTGACCAAAATACGGAAGTAGTAGCTCAAATGTCTCTAGGATATCACTACTGGCGAGGAAATCTGGATTTAAGCCTTTGAGCCGGAATCAAACCTTCAATGAGTTTAATCCGATGTCAAAGTCATTAACTTTTCCAAGACGAAATGAACGTGTGAAAGCCATGGGTAAACATATTGAACAACGACATTACAGCCTTTCTGACAAGCAAAAAGAGAATCAGATTCTTCAAGCCAATGAAGACACTCAATCGTGCAGGTCAAGGAAGAGTAACTGTTTCATAAAAAAACGGCTCAAGATTGATAAAGAAGAAGAAACTGGCTCAGGAGAGATGTTACTTCTACTGCTTCCTCTTTCATCCTTATTCACGGATTAGAACTAAAAATTAATAAAAGGAAGAGGCGGTAATTCCACTTTTGAATAATAGATGGTGGAATAAACGTGTCGTACCATATGTGAACCGTCTGAAAAAAATTCCATCTGCTACTGTCTAAACAGACGAATGTAATTTCTTTCGGTGGCAATATAGAAACGGATTAAAATAGTTTTAGTCTGGCAACCGTCCAAAAACGTTGATAGTTAAGTTACATAAAAAGGCGTTATTCGTATAGGTTAGGCTTAAAAAAAGTACACGTGCTTTTGGTTTTTAAGGATACCTAGACGTGCCATAATCAATGCATGTGTCCAAATGCAACTTATTTATATCTTAGGCACTAGTTACGTTTGTATTTGATGTGCAGTAATCTTGCGAAAGAGCATTAAACGTAAGTACGCTATATTTGTTTTTGTAATTTTGCACGTGTTTTTTTTTGAGAATTTTGGAGCATGTGTTCCCCAAGTTAGCTAACTTCAAATGATATGTCTAATGTCTTCGTTTAAATGAAGTAGACAGAATCACAAATTATGTTATTGTTGGATACATGAACATCTAATAAATGTCGTTCTACGCATTTAATCAAAATTTATCGTAGGGAACCGAAGTTTCATTGCCAATTCATTTTTGAATCGCTAATTTTAGCAAATTTTACATAAATACGATCCTGTAAAGAGAACCACTTGTAAAACTTTGATATAAATGAATGCATTAGCAATCTGTACCTATTATAAGGTTTCCATTTCAAAACGAATCGCCAATTATAATTTGTAACTATAAAAGAAAATCGAAAATTGCAATAGCAAGCCCCTTTAGATAGCTAGTTTAATGGAAGGATTATCTTAGGCATCCTTACATTAAAATTATAATAGTCAAATAACATTGCGCTTTCGAAAATAAAAAATAACACGCATTTGACACAGATTTTGCTGGAAGAGCTTGAAAGGTATGGCACTGGGGGTTAAACGATTTTACTCATACCTGCACTTGACTTTAAACGAAACAAAAATTTGTTCCACAAATCAAGTTACTGAAAGTGATTCTGTGAAATTATTAGGTACTGTGAACTGTGAACTCTCAGCATATAATATGTTCTAGTCTTTTAGTGAAATCCGTCATTTCAAGAAAGTGAAACGCTGACAATTTAACGTGTGGGGTAGTTTCCCTTCTCCCTCTAGATCGATAAGGGATACCATTAAACGATCTCGAAGGGGAAGTGAACGCAATCGATTAGCCCTAGAAAGTGCACCGTGCCACAGTTTCACAAAATTACTAGGCGTTTCGTGAAACGGCGGATTTCACTAAAAGACTACGACATATTTATCAAAATGCACCTTTTTTTCCGTCCTATTATTGGTGGTAATTAAGAATAGGTAAGTTTCACACATCTTTCATTTTTTATAATTGTTAGTTAATATTTTATAGTGATTTCGAACGCTTGTACAAATTTAGCAATCCCTAGGCCAATTTACTACTTTCGTATCACTTTTTATACATAAAATCTCGCCTCGGCTAGTCACCCTAATGTTGAAACTTAATATCATACGTGACCATCCAAAGGAGCCGCTTTCTTGCGGCTCTTTCAGTTCTTTTTTTGCCTACCATATGGATACATTTGATATTAAGGAGTATCATTGAATCCTGATTCCAGGATTATCTGGTAAAAGGTCGAATTGCCGATACAGGAGTTTTGAGTAGGTAATATGGAACTCGACATGTCTTGTTCAAAGTTATAAGGGAAAATTTATTGAGTACTCAGGGAGGTGGAAACCCAGAGGTTTTTTACTTCCTCTGCCACCTTTGGTGTCAGACTCTGAGGGGTTGTGAAGCACTTCATGTGTAGGAATAACGAATTTAATGTATGCTATTATTTTTTTAATCCACAGGTTTTTAAAACCTGCACGAGAAATACAGGTTTGGATATGTGCGTGTAGTTGCTATGCAACTGTGAAAATTTATACTTCACTAGTTCGGAACCCTTAATAAAGTTTGAATCAGATTAGATTTTTAGACAACCGTCACTATCAGTATTTGGGTTTGGAACGTAAAATATAACAACGCGAATTCCGGTAGTCACCGTTAAAAAAGAAATAGATTTAAAGTAAATAATTTCTAACGTGTCCGTTTTGCACACGTAGCCAAAATACGGATTATGATATATAATACCATCAGTGGTCGAAGTATTGTCAAATATTTTTGAGGTGCTGGACGAATGCTAGTTACTATTATAGTATGAGTGGAGCAGCACCTCAAAAATAATCTACAAATACTTCGACTACGAATGGTATTCGAATGACTATTCAATGAATCAAAAGAAAAAGTAAGCGTAATGTACATTTTAACCCCGAAGCTCATGCCATTATTTCCATGACGATAAGAAACGTCAAAATACAACAGAAGTTGCTTTTGATTTTGCTATTGATTCTATTGGAACTTTTGTGCTTCAAGCTAATTCGTTACGAGTGATCAAATTAAAAGATGTGGTGATAAGTCGGTTGTCGAAATTGATTAGCAAACTAAGAAGAATGTTCCGGTTAATACGAAAAAATTTTGCGACATTTCACTGGTTGAAGTTTGATAAATGTCATTGAATAATCGCTGAATTTACCACACGAGCAATTATCTGCACAAGTGCATCAAAATTACCGATAATTTTTTTGAAAGCATGTTGTCTAAAAACTGCATGAGTTTATTTTCATATTTTGGCGAAAGACACTAAGGCCGGACCTGGAGGTCCTACAAGACTGCTAGACAGTGGTCTGAAAAGGGGACTCGGGAAGAGCTCTCGCGGTCTAGTAAGCTCCGAATGAGGTATGAAAGTCCTATAAACCCCTACGAAGATTGACTAATCAATTAGTCAGATTGACTAATCAATTAGTCAAATATTGCGACGTAGTTTATCAGTTGACGACAAGGACAATTATTTCCATGCCCTTAATTTCGATGCTACGGTACTAACAGTAACAAAATACTTCCCACTTTCCATATCATTAGCGATATTATTTTATTTACATAAATATTATCCTATTTACTTAATTGATAAATCTCTCAAATGTCACTTGAAGAGCGAGTGACGATTACCTGATTTGCGTTTTGGTATGCACGCAATTTTATCGATGTTGTAATAACATCAAATGCGACTTCTAATTGCGCCGCTAATTACCGCGAATGGCGCAATTGTTATTAGTTATTACCTGACCACGTGGCTGCCTGTTTATTTTATCTAAGTAGTTCATTACGTATTTGCATATTTGTATTGAACGGGGTACGATTAATTGATTGAACAACACAAAAACCCAAATGTATTTAAGGCCTTAACTATAAGGATTCATTTTTGGTCCCTCTAGTGCCGTCAGGGGGTGAAATAATGAAATTTCTGTAGCGTTTAGCAATAGTGATTATATTCAGCACCGGAGGTGAATAAATCAAAATCCACACAGGAGTTGAGATCAGTTTTCAATTTCCCGAATGACAAAAGTAGCTACTGTCCGTCTGCCCGTCCCTCAATTACTTTTCACTGCAGAAGACTGCTGACATTTCCCATCTCTCATACTAGATCAAAAAGTTACAGATAAAATGAGCCTTTAATCATTTTTAATTACACGTGCTACTTGTTTAAGTTTCTCCCATACCTTTACAGCAACTACCAGTTTTTTGAATGGAAAATAACAGTCCCGACTTTCAAGTGCATAATTTCTTACCCAGATTTCCATTAAAATCGTAATTGGGAAGCTCGAATTATGGCACAGAAGGTCGACTTCCGCCGTTCATTATCAGACTTCCTTTGATAATAAGAGCACTATCCGTCGACGTTTGCTTGTCACTACAGGGTGACAAGTAAATTTAAGACCGGTTCGAAATTAAAAGCAACTCTTCTACGAGTACAGCTGATTTATATCAGCAAGTGCGTATCACATCATTACTAAATCGAACGCGGTGAACAACGTGCTTGGATTTTTCAGTGCGTTTTATTGGCAATAAGTGCGTGTCACACTTTTTGGAGTACCCACTGCCTTTACGTGAGTATTGATGCAAATGCTAATTGGCCAATTAATTGAAGCTTGCATACAAATCTCTTGTACTGATTAATGCGTTTTTAATCGTTTTATGATTGAACTTCACCCATGCAGTTTTTGCTATGAACCGCCTCAAGATACGAGCTGCAAAATTATTCAGGTTTCGCCAGGGTTACACTTTAATAGGGCGCAATCTTGGTAGAAAAGTGGAGCAAGTGCATTTCTCCAAAGTCAGCAAAAATGCATCAATATATAACCTTGATTTGAATAGGAATTAGTAAATAGTAATAAATACACGTTTAAGCGATATTCATTGTTGCCATTTAAACGGATTTAAAAGCATATATATTTTGCGATTACGATAATCCGCCTCCCATATATCGTTTGATTGTAATAACATACGGCTACATCTACATTGATTTTTAATGCACCAAAGATTTACCCTTCCTCTCCTCATAATTGTACCCACTTTTATCCCAATTTCGGCAATTTCTCTTAAATTTTGCACCATGATCATATAGCTTCTCGATATCGATGGGCCA